CACAGGCCTAGGCACGCGTGCACCCGCACACAGACACACAGTTACCTATAATTAAAAATAAATCTTTTAAAGCAAAGAAGCAAAACAGCCATTCAAGGTGGATTCCAGTACCAGTCAGTTTCAGAGCCAGGCCGGGCTGCATTGTTTGAGGTCTTTTCCTTATTTTGTGTATATGGGTGTTTGGTTGACATGTATGTCTGCCTAGTGCCTGTGGTCATCAGAAGAGGGCATCAGTTCCCCCTGGAACTGTAGTTTCCTGGCAGTTGTTAGCCACCACTATGTGGGTGCTTGGAATGGAATCCCTGGTTCTCTGGAAGAGCAGCCTGTGCTCTTAACATCTGAGCCCTGTCTCCATCCCTGAGATTGTCTTAAAAAAATAGCAAATGCCCCTGTGCCCAGTCAGTTCACTCTGGTTTGATGGAGTGGAGCTGCCAGGCTCTGGACCGACCCTCCCATGAAGCCAGTACTAAGCCTCACTGGGGTTTGCTCTTCTACACTTCTGCAAGCTGCCTAATTCGGATGCCTTTGCGCCTCTACTTAATCTTTTCCTAGGTGGGCCCTGGTGGTGGCAGCCCTGTATCTCAGCTGCTCAAGAGGACAAAGCAGGAGAATCTCAATTTCGAGCCTGGCTAGGCTGCAGAGCTGGGTCAAAGCAGCCTGTACCTGTCTCTGCCTGAGTATGGTGACTTTGATTGACAGACTGATTGCAGCCTTGCAGTGACCCCAGGACCACTTGCCTCGGATACTGTGTAGATTTTTTTTTTCAGGGCAACATAGTACTATTTATCACACCTTGTCTTTCATTCATGAGTAAACCCCACATTATCTTGCTATAAGTTTGCTTAATGCCAATGGGTTTGATTTGCTAGTATTTGCTTTAAAGTTGGTTTTTTTGATGTTGTATCAGGCTGGGCCTGCAGCTCAGCAGTAGCCAAGCACTTGATTAGCACAAGGCCTTGCTGCTGTGTTCCTGCACCTGACCCCCAAGGAACTGCATAAATCCATTTATGAGAGTGAAGAAACTCCTGTGATTGAGTATTCATCCATTCATTTATTTGGTTTTTGGGACAGGTTTTCTCTGTAACTTTGGAGCTGGAGCTGGTCCTGGAATTCACTCTGTTGACCAGGCCGGCCTCGAACTCACAACGATCCACCTGCCTCTGCCTCCTGAGTGCTGGGATTTAAAGGGGCGTAACACCACCACCTGGCTCAGTTTTGTTTGTTTGTTTTTTAATCTAACCTTCATATTATCTAGCCTCTTAGAGTTATTGGAATATTTCCTTTCTGATCTCTAGAATGCTGGGGTTTGAATATAACTAAGAAAACATTTTAAGGTCAGAGTTGGTAGCACAGGCCTGTCTGTATTCCCAGCATTCAGAAAGATGCAGGTGGGCACTGATGCAGGATTGGTTCTTGCAATTTCTAGACCAAAATAGAACAAAGCAAAACAAATTTGTTCTAGTTTTCCAGGTTAAATATGAAGATATATTCTCTGCTTTGTTTGTTGGATTGTCAGTTTTTGAGACAGGGTCTCACTGTATATCCCTGGATAGCCTTGAATTATCTATGTAGACCAGGCTAGCCTCAGCTAAACAGACCCTCCTGCTTCACTTTACATGTGCTGCGTCTTAAACGTTTAGGCCAGGACAACTTGAAGGAGTCAGCTCTGTCCCCATCGTATGGACCCTGGGTGAAATCGTGTTGAGTCTTCTGTATTTTTCCTTGTGTATGTGTTTTGGTTTCTGTTTTGTTTTTTGAGACATTCCCTCAGGAATCCAGGCTGGTCTATTGGAGCAATCCTCCTGCTTCAGCTTCCCTAGTACTGAGATTACTTTCATGCGCCTCTCCCGTCTGATCTAAAGGGAACTGGGGGTGGGGGTGGGGAGCGGTGCATACATAGAACCCAGGACCTTTGCAGGGTAGGCAAGTCCCCTTGACTAAAACCCCATCTGCCTTTGTTCCTTTGCATGCGGCATAGAAAGTGACTTTGGCTTGTAGACTCATTTGTTTTGCTCTTGGACTGTGATAACACGGAAGTACGAATAACGACAAAGAATCTTAATGCTTTAAAACTTTTTCTCAAGACAAGGGATCCAGCGCAGCAGTGGATCCTCAGCCACCATGCAAAAGATCCTAGGTTTAAGCAAAAATAAACAAAACCAAACATCAAGCCAGCTGGTGGTGGCGCATGCCTTAATCCCAGCATTTTAGAGGCAGGCAGACAGATCTCTGTGACTTCGAGGCCAGCCTGGTCTACAAAGTGAATACTAGGAAAGCCAGGGCTAAACAGAAGTTCTGTCTCCTCCCCAAAAAAAGGAAGGAAGGAAGGAAGGAAAACCCAGGCATTGTTATGTGCTGGTTTGGTCCTGTGGGCCTCTGGGAGCTCAAGGCAGAACGTACTGAAAGACCTCGGCATCAAAGCGCCGGGCACTGAACCGAACCCTCTGCCCAAGAACCGGGGCCAGACCACTGGCTGCAAATGCAAGAGGTGATTTATTGAGTACACAGGCGCCTGCGGATGCTACTGCAACTCGGGTGCAGAGCATACCGGGCTTGTATGGAGTACAATATTCATAGAGTTTTAATGGTTACATAAGTAACAGGCATTTCATTGGCTCATCTTGGGAGCAGGGGTAGTTGCCAAGGACTAGGTTTCCTACATGAAAGACCCCGGCACGCTTCAGCAATTAGTATCCGGGTCCCATGACTGCTATAGTGATCAGACACAATTGGGGGCCAGGGTAGTTGCCAAGGACTAGGTTTTCTAGTATTATCATATGAAAGTTCCCAGCATGCTTCAGCAATTATTATCCGGGTCCCATGACTGCTATAGTGATCACAGACATCCTGTTTTGAGGGTGAGACACCTAGTCTGGGTTTTTCCACTAGGCAACGGCCTGACCTTGCTTTTCTTTTCCTAGGGGGTCCTGGGTAGGGGTCTTTCAGTACAAAGGTTAAAGGCCAGCCTCAACTACTTAGTCGGTTGGTGCTCAATGAGACCTGGTCTCAAACAATGTTTTGTTGCTGCTCTCTCAAGGAAAGGTCGCACACCCCTGTGATCCCAGCATTCTGGAGGCAGGAGGGCTTCCAAGTCAGTTCAGCATACTCAAGGAGACCCTAATCCAGCCCAACGAGTTTTCTTTGCTCTTGTTTGGTTTCATGGTAGATGTCACCTTTGTAGGGAAGAAATGTTTCCATTTGGCCCTACATGTTTCCCACAAGCCTGTGCTGCCAGCTTGGCAGACAGCCCAGGGTGCAGGTGCTAGTGGTGCCTTTAGGAGACTTTAGGGCTGCTTGAGGGAAGAAAACCAGAGACTGGGATCCCAGTGTCTTCCTCGTGACCAAGCGATGAGCAGCCTCTACAAGCATCAACCGTGAGGTGCGCTGCTCTGAAAGCCCAAAACAGGAACCAAAAGAACCCTTTTTTCCTTTGAGATGTTTGTCTTGGGCATTTTGTGATAGTAATGGAAACTTAGGAAGCCGAAGGACCAGCTCCCTTCTTTCCTCCCACTCTGGCTTATCTACACACGAGGATACGGCCTTGTTTGGTTTCCATGGAAGTGGCTGTGGGTCCCCCATGTGTCTGTGATCCCTTGTCTGTTTTCTGCTTATTTTATTATACTGAGGGCGTCACACTCTAAATTCCTAACAATGATCCTAAGCCGGTCTCCCTAAGGCTGCTCACCTCTATTTCAGCTGAAGGTCAGGTCCAGTCTCTTACAATAATCTTTGGAGGGTCAGGATCTTGGGGGATCCTTAAGCACAGATTGGGCCTGTAGGAGCAGGGAAGCGGACTGGAGTTTACTTTGGCTTCCTTAGGGAGTATCTAACATTTTGCACCCTGTAAAAATAATGTTCTTAGGTTGACCTCAAAGCTGTTTTTTTGTTTTGCTTCCGGTATGTAATACTTTCTTATTTGGGGGGGTGTTGAGACAGGGTTTCTCTGGCTTTGGAGGCTGTCCTGGAACTAGCTCTTGAAGACCAGGCTGGTTTCAAACTCACAGAGATCTGCCTGCCTCTGCCTCCCAAGTACTTGCACCACCATTGCCTGGCCCTTATTTTTTTAATTTAATATGTTGTTATATTTTATTTATTGTGTATGTGAGGTCAGAGAACAGTTTGTAATATGGGTTCTGTCCTTCAAAGTGGGTCCCAGGGGTCAGACTTAGATTGGTAGGCACCATCACCCTCTGAGTCACCTTACCTTGCAGTCTTACAACATCTTATTTGTAGTTTTGACTGTCCTCGAATTCACTATGTAGACTAGGCTGGTCTTGAACTCACAGAGATCCATCAACCTCTCTTCCCAGGTGCTGGGAATAAATTCATGCACCACTATGCCTGACTTGCCAATTCTCTATTTGAAATCTCTTTTTTTTTAGACCTCTTTTGTGTGTGCTCTATTACGAAGCTACTTCCCCAGCCAGCCCGCCCCCTTTTTTTTGAGCTGGGGTCTCACTATGCTGCCTACACTCACCACTGACACCTGGGCCCCTACCTTGCTCTCCTAATTAGATGGGGCTATAGGCATGCCCTGATGTCCCCCTCTAAATGGGCTTTAGTCATTTTGTATAATTTTTCCCCCTTGTGATGATAGCTATGTGTACATCCTACTAGTAACCCTTTTTTTTTTTTTTTTGGTTTTTCGAGGCAGGGTTTCTCTGTATTGTTTTGGAGGCTATCGGTCCAGCCCAGCCTCGAACTCACAGAGATCCGCCTGCCTCTGCCTCCCGAGTGCTGGGATTAAAGGCGTGCGCCACCACCGCCCGGCCTTACTAGTAACCCTTTGTGTTAAATATTTATGAAGAACACATAACATAGTTTGTTGTTGTTGTTGTTTTAGACAGGGTTTCTCTGTGTAAAGCCCTGGCTGTCCTGGAACTCACTCTGTGGACCAGGCTGACCTCAAACTCACAAAGATCTGCCTGCCTCTGCCACTCCAGTGCTGGGATTAAAGGCATTCGTCACCACTGCTAGACTAACATAGTTTTCTTAAGCATGTTCATGCTTACCAAGTTTCTTGACAAAACTCAGTAAGTGAATTTTCATTTGTTTATAGTTCAGGTGGCTTTTTTTTTTATTCTTTCAGGATTTTGAACCTGTTCTCTCCCGGAGAAGAAAGTGTACTCCGGTGTTAGTGCGTCCACAATGTCGGGTGTGCAATCAAAAGCAGCCAGGCTTCAAAAGGAGCACAAAGACAAGCCGTTAGTAGACACGGAGAGGGCAATGGCCGCGTCAGAGGATTTAAAGTACACTGACGTATCGGCAGTCATGATGAAGAAGTTTAATGCTTTAATGGAAATGCAAGACATGATGTTTGTAGAGATGAGAGAAAGCCTTAAAAATGATCTGAAGGAAATGCTGGTTAAACGAACACCACCTGAGGTGAAGAGTTTGGAGGACGGGAGAGCGCAGCAAGAAGGAAAACATTCAGCTGCAAAACGGCCAGAGTCGGGAGAGAAAGTGGAAGAAGAAAGTTCCGGAACAGATGACACCGAAAAGCTCACTGTGAAAAGTGAGGCCAAGAGCAAGCTGAGTAATAAGCAGGACAAAAAACAACTCAACAGCCACCGGGGCGGCGAGAAACCCTCACCAGAGAGGATGGGAGACGCCTTGCATCGTGTAGGTGACAGGTGTTGGGAGAGCAGTGGCCAGGTGGATGTTCTAGGAGAGGAACCCAAGACGGGGGAGGACAAACCAGCCAAGGAACCCAGACATCAGAATAAAGAGAACCCCCTAAATGCCTCCGGAGAGGGCAGCGCGCCACCAGAGGGAGCCATCCTTAGGCTGGCTGCGGACTTCTCCTCGGCCACCCTGGATATCAGCAAGCAGTGGGGCCGCATCTTCCGCCTCCTGAAAGAGAAGGAGCTGGAACCTGAGCTGCAGTGCTCGGTTAAGCTGGCCTTTAAATGTGACGGTGAGGCAAAGACCTTCTCGGACCTTTCCAGCCTCCGGCAGTTCACCAGCACAAAGCCTTTTCTGAAAGAGTTGCTGAAAGACGTGCTCCCACAAAACGAAGCAAGAAACGGAGGAAGACGGAGTGAGCTTCAAGAAAGAATGGTGAGCATGTAGGATTCAAGTGCAAGGGTTGGTGGGAATTCTTTTAAAGGCATAATGCGGAAATTTTTCATTTTAGCGCTTTCCATTGGGAAACAATGTGCTGTTGCAAGTTTGAGAGATGAACAGGGATTTAAGGTCTGTTTGGAGGTTCCAGACACCGATAGGAAACCGTTTACGGTAAAATTTAAGGTTGAGCAGTAAGAGTGTGTTTTAACTCGTTAAAAGGGAACAAATGAGTGGGCACAACCAAAGCTTTAAGCAGTGGCACTATCAGGTATTAGCTGGGTCCAGTTTTCTTTCTAACAAGTACTATGTGTGTAAGTGCCTGCGTGCACATGTGTGCGTCAGGTGCCTGCCTTGCCTGGGCTTGGGCCAGAAGAAAGCATCAGATCCCCATGGAGCCACCCCATGTGGGAACTGGGAACTGAACTTGGGTCCTCTGCAAGGGCTGTTAACTGTTCAGCCATCTCTTGAGCCCTTACACCATCTTTTGCCCGTCACAACTGACTACACTCAAGGTCTCGAGTAACCCCAACTTAACCTGAGCGGGTTTATATTCATCGACCACTCAGATTCCTCCCCTGTGAAGTACCTGTTCAAGTCTTCCGTTCATTTGTCTTATGTTGCTTATTGGTTTGTAACTCTTTATATATTTTTAGATTGCTATTTAGGGGTAGTAGCATCAGCTGCAAGTGTCATCTTCACAGACACAGGGTCTTGCTATGTATCCCAGGTTTACTTTTTTCCTGCCTCAGTCTCCTGGGTGCTGGAATTGTGGGTGTGTACCACCACACCTGCTCTGGTCTCTCTTTTCTTTTTCCTGGTACATTTTGATTTGTTGTGGAGGCTATCTGTCGTGCATGCTGGTGGTGCCATTTCATGAACAAAGGAGATCCCATGGCCAGGTCCCCCAGCTGTAAGATTTTATGGGTAATCTGGCTGGTGTGTACCATAGCTCTGTGGTTTTGGTTTGCATCTCCCCATTACTAAATCTTAGTATTAAGATAGGTTTTGTGAACATTATGGGGTTTTTTTATATTGAGGGTTTTTCTTAAGTTTTTTTTAATTCATTTTAATTTTTATGTGATGTTTTGCTTACATGCATGTATGCACACCATGTATGTGCTTGGTGCCTGAGGAAGACAGAAGAGGTGTCAGTTTCCTGGGATTGGGGTTTTAGATGGTCATGGGCTTTCATGTGAGTGCTGGGAATTGAACCTAAGTCCTGTGCAGAACAAGTGCTCTTAACCTCTGAGCCATCTCTTCAGCCCCTCCTATTGTTAAAGGTTTGTTTATTTATTACATATACAGTGTTCTGCCTACATGCCAGAAGAGGGCACCAGATTGAATTGTAGGTGGTTGTGAGCCACCATGTGGTTGCTGGGAATTGAACTCAGGACCCCTGGAAGAGCAGTCAGCGCTCTTAACCTCTGAGCCATCTCTCCAGCCCCCCTATTGAGATTTTTAACACAGCTAGAATTTGTACCACTTTGTGTAAGGTTGGACTCAAACCTCGGTTGCTCACTATTTTATTTTTCATTTGCTGGTTGTTTTGATTAAGCCTCTCATTAGCCCAGACTCTCCACTCCCCACCCTGGTACCTCCATCTCTGACGTGCTGGGATTACAGGCACAGACCTGCCGATCTTTCAGTCACTATCTTAAGAATATAGGACTGGGATGTAGCTCAGCTGGAAGGGTACATATTTAGCTAGCATGCACAAAGTCCGGGTTCAATCCCCAATACCACATAAATCAGGCATGGTTTCCATGCTTGGTGAGAGTGATGGCTGAGGCATGAGGCATGAGGCATGAGGACCCACATGGTAGAACAGAGAACTAACTCCTTACTGCAAGCTGCCTCCTGATCTCCGTATGAGTGTTGTGGCACCACCACACACACATGAACACACGCACAAACACATTCAACTTAAGAAAAAAAATTGGGTTAAATTGCTTTGGTGTTGGAGGGAAAGGTAAATGACCATTCAGGTGAATTTCTGTTACCAGGTCTTAATTCTTTAGTTAGGGTCCTGCTAAACATGAGGAGAGATTACTAAATGTGCTTAGTCAGTCACATGTGACACATTACATACTGGGGATTCAGAAAGTCAGAGCAGGGATGATCTTGTGGGACTTTATTTTGAATACTGCAGAAGAAGCAATTTGTTAGGATCATTATAAGAAACCATCTATTTGGGGATCCCTGTCTTTGAGAATAGGTGGCTGGATGTAGGGGTCTACCACTATTGGTGTGGGAGCAGTACTCACCATGCACAAGGTCCTGAGTTTGATCTTCTTTGCAGGAAAGATTAAGTAATATTTAAGCAATTTCACAGACTCGTTCATTGTCATGGCAAGCATATTACATTTAGAGGGTGAAATAGATGTTTTAATTTGTTGAAAAACATGACTTAAATAGCTTTTTTAAACTTCTAGGGAAAAACTCTAGGAGACACAAAGCGCGAAGCTAGAAGAATAGCAAGTGATAGTTTGAGCTTCCTATTCATCAACGAGGTAAAAGTTGCTAGTCCAAACGTGAAGACTTACGAAGAGGAAACGCTGGAACAGAAGGATAAAGAAACTCTCAAGCTGGAGAGACAGGAGGCCTCGAGGGCAGAGGAGGGAGAAGAGACTTCAGAGGGAGAAGCCTCAGAAATGGGGGAAGAGGATTCAGAGTTGGAGGAGGAGGAGGAAGAAGAGGAGGGCTCAGAGTTGGGGGAGGAGGAGGAGGAGGGCTCAGAGTTGGGGGAGGAGGAACAGACCTCAGAGGAGGAGGAGGAGGAGGAGGAGCATTCGGAGATAGGAAAGGAGGAAGAGGCCTCTGTACTCCATGAAACACAAGACTCAACTTTCCAGGGCCTGACTGTGGTACAAGATCATGGAGTTGAGAAAATCACCAGGAGTGGTGAGGAGATTGGTTTAATTAGTTTGATAGTAGAATCAGAAGAAGAAGGAAATCTAAAGAAGAATTCCCAGACCAAGAAAAAGGAGACCTTCCATGGACTTAGAGAACTTGCCTTTAGCTACTTGGTCTGGGACTCCAAGGAAAAAAAGCTGGTCAAGTGCCAGGAGGGAGGAGCAGCTGCCTTGACTAGTCAGGGGATCGGGACACCCTGTCTAACGCTCTACTTGGCTTCTCCATTAGAATCCCTGCAGGCAGGCAGTGATGGTCCTAAAAGCCATTCACATCCAAACCCGAGTGTCCCATCACAAGTCACTCCACTTTTAATGAACACAGAGAAGGGGAGATACAAAACTCTCCAAGTGGCAGAGCTGACAGCCAAAGAAGCAGACTTGATGCATGCAACCGAGGAAACCTTCAGAAGAAGTGTGATCAGCACTATCCGACAGATGCAGAGGGAGGTTGAGGACATTAAGAAGCTTTACTTCTTTGATGTCCTAAACATGAAGAGTTCAGTGGATGACCTGAACTCCTTGGCGTGCATGATTGAAGCGAGAGTGAATGAGCAGGAAGATGCAGTGGAGGGGCTAACTAAGGAGACCATGCAGCTGGCCAAGGAGATCGTCGATAAGGAAAGGCTGAGGGAGAGAGAGGACAGACTGCGGAGCTCCAACATCCGAGTGATAGGAATCCCAGAGAAAGAAAACCGCGAGAATGGAGCAGAGGACATCATCAAGGAGATAATAGAAGAAAACTTTGCTGAGCTAGAAGACTCGAGTCTTGAGATTGTCAGTGCTCATCGAATCCCCAACGCAGTGGATGAACACAGACTCACACCCAGACACATCTTGGTGAAGTTTTGGAGTGCTGGTGATAAACAGAAGATCCTCAAAGCTTCTAGAGCAAAAAGAGAAATCACCTACAGAGGGTCAAAAATCAGGCTGACAGCTGACTTATCGCCTGGCACTATAGATGCCAGAAGTCAGTGGTCTGGGATCATAAAAATTCTGCAAGAAGAAGGCTTCCAACCGAGAATCCTTTATCCTGCCAAACTGGCATTTGATTTTAGGGGTAAAACTAAAGTATTTTTTGATATTGAAGATTTTAAGAAGTTTGTTTCTGATATACCCTTTTTGAAAGAACTGCTGAACGATATACTTTAGCAATCTGGAGTGCTTTCTGCCCACCAAAGTACATCCAAAAACCAAGTAAAATTGGACAGTGAACCATCCCATCTCTGTCCAGAAGGGTGGACAGCTGTCTTTTTTTTCCAGGAAAGGGAAAAAGCAACTCACTGCCTGAATGTTGGTTGAGTTAGCATGCGTGGCTTTTAAAAATAGCTGCATACCCTGGCGAGGAGGGATCTCCCCAGCGTAAGCACACACAGGGCAATGTACTTAGGGCCACAGTGGGAAACGACAGAATAGAATAGCCACAGTCTGACTGAATCAACACATTACTCTTATCATTTGCCATGATGTAAGCTTTTATATTAAAACTTGAAGTTTGACTGTGTCGTTTGTCTGCATAACATTCCTGCTCCTGTTTTCAGAAGGCCCTGTCATTTCTGTATACTGTCTACGAACCTATTGCTTCATTGCTTCAGGACATCCATTGAGGGAGTCTTTGCCTTAATGTGTGACGGTGTTTGTATAGATAGTCCTTCGTTTGAAATTTATCCGTCTTCTGTGGGAAAGCACTAGAGAAATCAGGGAGAGTGAAACGGAATGCTTTGTTCTGCAGTGGTCTCCAGCAGTCCTAATTGTCCTTGAATCCCTCTGTATGGCCTGTTTCAGCCTGCCAAGTGTTGGGGGGGGAGGGGGAGGGGAAATTTTATGCAATGAAAATTGTGTCTAATCCTGGGCCAAGTTAAGATAACCGCTCAAGCCCTGCCATCCCAATGAAGTTGGGATGTCTACAGAAGATAATGTCAGGCACTGCTGGTTTTATTTTTTGCCGCACTGGGGATGGGATCAAGGGCCGCTAACTTGCTGCGCCTTCACTCAGACCTGATGCAAATGTTGAGTGTAAAATGGAAGCAGTCATCCTTGCTGTGTTTCTGTTTTTTTTTGGTTTTTCGAGACAGGGTTTCTCTGTAGCTTTGGAGGCTGTCCTGGAACTCTCTTTGTAGACCAGGCTGGCCTCGAACTCACAGAGATCCGCCTGCCTCTGCCTCCCGAGTGCTGGGATTAAAGGCGTGCGCCACCACCGCCCCCCCTGTTGCCACTTTTGCTTCTGCTAGTCCTTTTGCCCGAGGAACCAAGCCTCCACTTCCTCCTTTCGTGTTGAGGCTGGCAGCCGGGACCTTGCATGCCTCCTGTTTGGGTCAGGGTCCGTCTGGAAGTGTTGGCTCAGCTCTTGGTGCTGCTCCCAGGTGTGACCGCAGAGTCGCTTCCATTCTGACTGCAGCTCGCGCAGCTCAGTTCATGTGTTTTTCAAGAGAAAAAGAAAATTGTATATGTGCCGTGACGTGCATGTCGAGGTCAGAGGACAAGTTAGTGGAGTCAGCTATCTTTCTACTTTCGCATGGGTCCAGGGGCTCGAACTCATAGTCTTGTACAGCAAACACAATTACCCCTGAGCCACCTCACCGGCGAGTTCCGGGAAAGGCTTTGATGAATGATGTTTGTTGCATCTGCCACCCTAAAGCGAATCTATTTTTTAAAAGCTTTAATTCGCCTTGGGTCCTGATGGTAGGCAATGTTTACTAAGGAAAACACCTGTGAACAAAATCAGACGCCCCTAAAACACTTCCATCAAAGCCCGCCTATATAACACTGCTATCAAAGCCCTCTTATGGCTTGTGCGCATTCTTATGAATATCTGCAACGTGTACTCGCTCACACACAAGGTGAGTGTGGGCTTCTCACAAGACAAGACTGATTTTACACACCTTAACAATAGTTACATATATGATTTGAGAGTTTGGGGGAGTGATGTTGCTCTCAATGGGTCTTAAAAGATAAAAATGTATCCCCTGCCAGGTGGTGGTGACACACTCCTTTAATCCCAGCATTTGGGAGGCAGAGGCAGGTGGATCTATGTGAGTTTGAGGCCGGGCTGGTATACAAAGCTAGTTCCAGGACAGGCTCCAAAGCCACACACACACAAGCCCTGTCTTGAAACACATCCCTCCCAAATACGCACGCGCGCACACACACACATATGCCTTAAAGAAATGCTCTTTAATGAGTGAGATTAGAAACTGGTTTATGAGGTGCACTGTGCAAATTCACATGTTCATAAGATATGAACATCGGCCAAAGAAGAGGTCAGATAAAGTCTTGTTATACATGTCTCAAGGCATGTGCTTTTATTATAAATTTAGTTCATAATCATGTGAAGTTTCCACGGGAAAGTGCAAGTTCCCGGATGAGGAAGGAAATGCTAAATTCAAATGTCTGTACTCTGACATTAGCATGGTTTATCCCTACTTTAATGTTCTTATTTGAAATCCCTTTCACTAATCAAGAAATCTTCATAGTGATTTGTTAGTTGTGTCAAAAACTTTTTGTCTCCTTCAGGGGTGTTTATCTCCCAGTCGGAAGAGAATTAGGGACAGAGTCCTCTGCCTGTCAAGATCTGGGCCTGATGCATGATATCCACAAAGCTCCCAACTGTTCCCTATGTTTGTTCGGCCCAGGAAGGGCCTGCCCAGGGATGGTGGCCTTGAGAGCCGTGGCATAGGCATCAGGCCAGCTGGCCCAAATGGAGTCAAAAGGATACTGACAGGCCAGATACAAGGTTCCAGGATATAGCATCCAAATGATGCTCGGCCATTGGCTTTGTGCCCGGGAGCTCTCTGTGGGGACAGACTCTGAGTGCTGCCTGCAAGGACAGAGAAGGCAGAGGAGTTAGGACCCCATCCTGCTCCCTAGATGGGGCTGGAAGCACTGAGTTTTGGCAATTTGACTCTCCCCTAGCTACTGGAGTAACCCCTAGCCTGGCCATGGTGAAGAGCTGGCCAACTTGCAGTGAGCAACAGCAGCACAACCCAGGTCTCCCTGATTGGGTCACCAGAGTGGGGGATGGCAGACAAGGAGGGGGGAGACGACATGCTCATGCAGACAGGTGAATTAGGAGTAAGTGACGGCTGCCAGTACATGTTCCATACGTTAAGGCATCATGGTTAGACAGCGACTGACAGTGACGACCCGGCCAGAGAGTAATGGTGCTGAATGATAGCCCAGTCTTGGCCCCACGCTGGTGCAGAGACACAAGTGGGCTGGGCAACCCCCAGTAGTCCGCCACCACCTAGAAGTCAGGGTCCAGCCAGGACCTGAGGAAGGAAAGGCGGAACCTGGAGGGACAGGGTGGTTTGGAGGCCTGGGCTGGAACCCCTCCACTGCACAGGCTAGAGACCACGGGGGCGGTGCAAGATGCATTTCAGGGGCCTGAGGACAGGAGGTGGAGCAGAGGCAAACAGAAGAGCTGCCTGCCTGGGTAGCTCAGGGAGGGACACGCTGGTCATTCCGCCCAACTCCCAGCTAGGAGCCCTTCATTCCTTTTTGGTGGTGACACTCCACTCCCACGCTGGGTGCTCAGTCTTGTGATCATCTGTGAAGTGGGACTTGATATTGTAGCTGCCCCAAGCAAACATGCCCTTGGGGTGGGGGAGACTCCTCCATGGGTGTCAGAAACTCATGCTCCTTAGCCCAGAGCCTGGACCACACAGTCAGTCTCGTCAATCTTACTGCCTATCCTGTATGCGAGCTAGAAGTACGCCATGCCTGACACACTGTGCACCAGGAAAGCGATCACCCTTCTGTCAGTACAAAGGACTTTCTTGAAGCTCTTCAGATCACCTGTCCCATCCAGTACCAGAAGGCCTGGAGGTTAGTTGGGTCACAATGATGTTGAGGAGAGACGGCCACTTGTACTTGTTCAGGAATTTCTCATCCTTGTCCAGGTCCTGGATCTCCTGGATGCTCTTCTGGGTTGGGGGCTGGTAGTTGCTAGTGTGCCCACCTTCCTCGTTCTCTGCCGCTGTCTGGGCCAGCTGCTCATGGTGTGTGTGTGGGGGGGGGGGAGTCCTGTTCTTCATTGCTCACCTCCAGCTGGGACACCAGAGACTTGACCATCATTCTTGGGCTCCCTCTCCTGGGTCAAAATTCTTGACTCCCAGCTAGCAAGAAATACAAGCCATAACCCAGGGTGAGAGGCACCTTTTTCCTTCCCATGTCTTAATTATCTCAGTCTTTCTGTCTTGCCTCACTTTCCCCATTTGAGACTTTGATCATAGGGGTTAATGGTGGCTAAGTTTCATTCTCTCTCTCTCTTTCTCTCTCTCTCTCTCTCTCTCTCTCTCTCTCTCTCTCTCTAAGATTTAAATTAAGGTTTGTTTTCTCTTTTTATGTGTATGTGTGCATATGTGTGTCAGTGCCCTGAGACTACAGAAGAGGCATTAGATTCCCTGGTGTTGGTGATACAGGCAGACACTTGATGTGGGTGCTGGGAGGTGAACTTGAGTCTTCAGCCAGAACAGCAAGCACTCTTAATCCTGGAGTCATCCCTCCAGCCTTGAAGCTCCATGTCCCGAGTCTCCACGGTGAACAAGAATGTAGACCCTGCCTGTCCAAGAGTCAGAGTCTGATTTAAGGGGAACCTGAGAGCTCAGAGGCTGCTGTACTCACTTGCTGATGAGATCCTCCCATTTCTAACCAAGAATTGTAATATTTCAGTGAAGCTCTTATGCAATTATAGCTACAGAGGAAGCTAGGGCAATAAAATCAAAAGCACAAATATAGCCTTTTTCATGATCTCGTTTTGCGGGAATTTAATACTTGCACACAGCATGATACAGTCCTGCTCTTCCAAATGCTTCCTGCCTCTCAGAGACCTTGCTGGGATTTGCCTCCTGAAAACAATGGGCAGTCCCGGCAGTGGGAAGCAATGCTACGTACACCAGCAGTAATACTCTCTTCTCATCCTCTCCAAATTAAAACACACAATTCAGCTGTGTCTGAGAACATACGTTGTTCTATTGTTGGAAACGTTTTCGGTCTTAGATAATTGCCGAGAAAGGCAACCGAATGCACCACTCACAAGTTCCCAAGGCAAGAGCTTGAAGGTCACGCAGGACGAGGGGGCTGAGTTGGACTGAACTCCACTCTCTCCTTCACCCACATATGTCATTGTCAACCAGAGCCCCTTTTGCTTCTCCGCCCCAGCCTTAGAGGTGGAGGCCTCTGCGTTCAGTGCAGAGCCCAGGCGTATCAGGAGCAAGCATTCTCAATCTCTTGCCTTCCCTTCCTCCACACAGTGGTTTCTCCAGCTCTTCACCCACATATGTCATTGTCAACCAGAGCCCCTTTTGCTTCTCCGCCCCAGCCTTAGAGGTGGAGGCCTCTGCGTTCAGTGCAGAGCCCAGGCGTATCAGGAGCAAGCATTCTCAATCTCTTGCCTTCCCTTCCTCCACACAGTGGTTTCTCCAGCTCAGCTTGCCTCGGCTGCTCACCCGCATGCTCTCCCTGGCTCTCCTTTCCGAGGACTCCATCCTCTCCAGGGCTTCAATCCCCGAGTCCCTTTAAAAGGTTTCCCCTCTTTTTTCGTCTCCCTCTTCTACCTAGAACCATCAGGCTTCTAGAAACCCTTCCATCCCATCAATGTCCACACCTTGTCTGCCTAGCTCTCCCCACAGATCCAGTACATGCCGACTCTGTTGCTAAATTCCAACTCAACAACCAACCTTAAACATTTTTTAATATGTCTAACTATCACTCAGTCTAAGTAATTTGCATATCAGTATTTACTTGATTTGAGTACACTTTTCTAAATACCAGGGACTGGCAAGAAATAAAAAAATTATATTTATCATCATTACATTTTATTTTTTATATATTTATTAATTTTGTATACAGTATTCTGTCTGCATGTATCCCTGCAGGTTAGAAGAGGGTACCAGATTTCATTACGGATGATTGTAGGCCATCATGTGGGTTGCTGGGAATTGAACTCAAGACCTCTGGAAGAACAGCCAGTGCTCTTAACCTCTGAGCCATCTCTCCAGCCCCCACATTTTAGTTTTTTGAGACAGGGTCTCACTGTGTAGCCCTGGCTGTCCTGGAACTTCCCATGTAGAGACCAGGCTGGCCTCAAAGGCACAGAGGTTCTGTATCTGTCTCCCAAGTGCTGGAATTAAATGTGCACCACTGTGCCCAGCTTATTTTTCTTTCGTGTTCTAGAAAGGTTTAGATAATACGGCTACCTCCTAAAAGAAAGTTTATGTGGCCTTGGGGGGGGGCACACTGGTAATCCCAGCTGGCTAATGTGAAGTAAAGGCAGGAGGGCCCAGGGTTCAAGACTGGTCATTCTCAGCTAAATTCAGTTCAAGACCAGTCCAACCTGGGCTCCAGAAGACCCGAGTTCAAACAACAATAGCAAATGAAACATCTAAACGATAAGTTGCTTAAGACTGGGCGCAGTCAATGGCATGTGCTGGCCTCGGGAACGCTGGCTCTGATCCCTAGCAGCAGATACCGGGTCTGCAAGCTGAGCCCATGGTGCTGGGAGCCCTTCCTAACCTCTCACCACCGACTGTGTCTAACTGCCCCTCTCCACTTGAATCCCACTGAGCTGGGTTCTTTGTGTTCTAGTTGCCTGCTGGCTCCCCTTCAGCTCCAGGGTGCTGCTTGCACGGCCAACCCTGCCTGACCTCTGCAGTGCAGAGAGCACCCACCCACTCCACAGCCAGGCCAGAGTGGGGCAGGGTTTCATCTGGGGCTTCCTATCCTGGCAAAGGAATCCAATGGACACTTGGCTCATACTACTTTCTTCCTGAGTTGAAATCGGTGCTAACCAAGAGGTGATCAGAGAAGCAGGCAGGATGAGGGGTCAAGTCATCGCTCAAGGGAACCCAGCAGTCCTGAAACACCGTTCGCGTTTAGACTCCCCTCCCCCACCACGGAGAAATCAGATTAGGAGTGCAGAGGCGCTAGATTTTCATTTTCTGAAATCTGATTTTTTAAAGTGCTTGTCTAGGACATGATAGCTTGTCCTTGTCAGATACCTGCTTGACTCAGAGTGTTCCCATGTGGTAATCTCTCTCCTGCCGCCTCAGCAGTCTGCTAGTCTGGTGCAAATCCTAACAAAACAACAATGCTTACGAAATCTGGCCAGTTTTCTGCTGCCTCTGAGGGACTGTCACTCTTCGAGGTCTTACTAATGCAGTTTTTCAATGACTTAGGGCCTGCCTCCAGCCTAGCCACTGAGAAGGACAACTTCCTGGAGGAGATGACAGATGATATGAGGGATCCTCAGGATGATGGGAGGAATGTGTGTGTATGGGTAATTTGCCTGCATATATGTTTGTGTACCATGTATGTGTTTGGTGCCCAAGGAGGACAGGAGAGGGCTTAGGATCCCCTAGGACAGTGCTCATAATCGCTGAGCATATCACTTACACACATCTCATTATCTACATGTAGTTAAGAAGCCATAGCAAATCCAAGGGAAGCTGGGAAGTGCACTCTCTACCCTTGGTATGGAGTTGGAGAACCTATAACTAAGGAAGCACAGTAGATGATACTGGGGATAATGGTGACACCAACTCTTCTCTCATCCAGTTTGTGATCACACCCTGGGACACCTCATTCCTGGTGACTTTCCTAGCAATGCTTAATTCTACCTCCACTCTTAGCTGCTTTATACCCCCCATGGCTCATAAGAGGCTCTCAACTGAACCCCTTGCTTCTAGCCTTACCTCTGATTGGCTGCCTTCAGTGTTTAGCGATTTCTCATTGGCTTCTACTACCTATTGCGATGCCTCTCCATCCCCTGCCGGAACCGAACCCAAGTGCTCTATCCCTTAGCTACATTTCCAGCCAAGCAATGGGCTTAAAAAATATTTTTAAATTGCATTTATTTATTCATCCGGTGTGCGCAGTATTCATGTGGAGGATAAGTTTGCTGACTAGTGGACAGCTTGCCAGAGTTGGATCTTAACTTCTGCCATGTGGGTCCTGGGAATCAAACTCAGGTCATCTGGCTTGGCAGCAAGCACCATTACCTGCTGAGGCCCCAGCAGTAGGATTTTAAGAGCCGAGTTTAGCACACACGTGTGTGTTTTTCTGAAAGGAGTCTGGATTCTTGAAGTAGTGTGTGAGATAGTCCCCTCAAGTTTAGGCTCTAGTCCAAATCCCTACTATCCAAATTCAATAAACAAGACCATGTGTCTTCCTCTCTCTCGTCTCCTCTCCCATGGACTGAAACTGAAGTCATCTGAAATCCCACCACTGTGGGGCCACAGGGCTTGCCTCGTGCCACAGCTTCAACCCCACAGCTCCCTCTAGAACATCTGGGCTTGCGTCTCAGAGTTCGGCTCAGAGTCTCTTCCATGAGGTTTCTCTGGCATGACAATCTCCACAGCACTTCATCCCGTCGCCCCGTACAGGGAAGGGTAAGGCTCTAAGGGGCAGGGACCCTTAGGTCACTTGTGGGCACATTGTCAATGGTAAGTAAGATGTCTCTCCTGGGACCCAGAGCAGCTGTCACAAGATGCCTGTTCAAAAACCTGACTTGTCCTTGCTCTCCAACTTCCTTTATGGAGCTGAGATCTCTTCCTCCTCCTAGACACACTCCTGACATCTGTCACAGGGTCTCCCCAGACTCCAAAACTGTGGGCTAATAAACACCCTCTTTTTCTTCCTAAGTATCCTTCCTTGGGTATTTTGTCAGCACAAAAAGAAATTAGCTAATATAGGCTTCTATTGTAAATTCTAAATTCCCAAGAATCAAGAGCAAAGACATTTTGAGGTTAATTAAGAGGCAGCATTTTAATTTATATACAATAAGGACAGGCCAGAGCTGTGCTGCTCAAAGCTTGGTTGTGGCCTGACCACATCAGCATCCTCTGGGCCTAGTTAGACATACAGAAACTCAGGCCTCATTTCAGACCTACTTCATAATAAGATCCTGGGGGCTGGATATACATTAACCTTTGCAAAGCATGGGGCTAACATTTATTAATGTATGTGTTTGCTTTTACACTGTATTTTGACACTGAAATAAATCCTCTCAAAGCTTTTTTTTTTTTTTAAATAAACTCATCTATTGCTCCAACCTCTCCATCTCTGAGCAGTATCCACACATGGGACTTTGGACATCTCTCACAAGTCACACTGTGGGAAGAAGTTTGCTGCAGGGTTTCTGAAGGCGATCTTTCTGGGTTACCATCTGGGTTCAAAAATGTCTGCAAGCAGTTTCTTATGAAGAACCCCCAGAGGTAGGGTGTATGATCACCGCCATTCTGGAGATGGTGGCGTTGTCACCTACAAATGACTGGTGACTCACACAAGAGGTATCAAGCAAAGACCAAACGAGGATTCTTGCCTTTGAGTTTTCAGTGTTCAGATCCCCAGTGTTGGCATTCTTCCTGTTACATAAAGATGGTCTTATGTGCAGGCCCCAGGGAATATGGAGGCATAGGAAAGACCTGTCCCTGGGAGAGGGTTCAGTCCAGAGAGAGCTGTGTCCTGCCATGGATGGCTGCTGCTGCAGCCCAGACTGGACTTCTGTGCAGCCAGGAGCCCGGAAGTTCTCAGGACCCGTACCTGCTCATAGAGTCCGTGTGCTGCCGGCAGCGGGTGAACAATGCCAACTTCTACAGAGACTCATTCCCAGCAAGAAGCCAGCCAGTTCATTTGTTTCTTTCATAAGGTTGGGAACAGCTGAAATAGCCGGACTCTATCACCAGGCCCTAGTGTTAACCACTGGATTGGATTTCCTGATTTCTTCCAGAGAGGGAATTGGAGCCACTTGAGTACTCAAACGTGTCAGCCGTTGACATCACTGGGCTTCGTCCTACCGTGCCTAAGTTTAGATTCCTCTCCCATTCCCTCTAGACATGCACAGTCAGTGGGATATATTTGTATATATACTTGATTCAAAACGAAAAGGCAGTGCACTTTAAAACCCCATGGGAAAAGTATTGCTTTTCTACTGCGCCAGTGCGCCCTTACCCACCTGCTTGCTACACAGGACTGCAGAAGCAGTCATGAGAAATGCAAGGCTGAAAATGTTTTGAATTTCGGGACAACCCCTCTGCAGCCTGCCCTCTGCACCTTACACCCTGCTCTGGAGCCCGTGTACTTTGGGGTGGGGGGGGGCAGGCTTGGCCTAAGGCAAAAAACTACTAAGCATCCTAATGAGCAGAATCATATGATGGGAATGTATTGTGCATATTTGACATAGCTTCTTTTGAATGGTGGTCCTCTGCCTGTGACCCCGGCCCTCTCTGAGGCCAAGGGCGGAGTTCAGAAAAGGAGCCTTTGTTTCCTGGCTGTTAGTGCTTCTGCAGCTCCTACAGCCCCAGGGGCCTGCCCTGCTCCGAGTGGGCCTGCAGAAGCTCTGCGATTTCCACACGGGCAGGTGAGTTCAGAACAATGGACAAAGCTGTTCGGCCAGCCTGTGGAGAAGAAAGGAGAGAACAATCATCCCACCTGCCTCGTAGTCCCAGTGAGAAGTGTTGAGAAGGATGTTCCAAACGTATTAGACACGAGGGGCCCTTCCACAGGAGCACTCGGTTCTGGGGAGCCTGCGCCAGTGGGGACACAGAAGGGGTTGCCAGACCCTCAACACTTAAGACACTGGAAAATATCGCAAAGAAAATAACCTTTCCTATCCTAACACACGGATCTAAGTGAACGTTAGTTAGCATTTCGGCGTGCTTTCTCCTGTGCAAATCTATTGCTGGTGTTAAGGAGAGAAATGGCAGCAGGCATCTGTGTTGAATGCCCTTTTCTTGTAACTTACTGTGGTGTGTTAGGAGACGGTTCCCCACTGTTAGTCTTCATGACTCATCTGTCTTACTCTGTTTTAACAGCCCATAAGACACCAGCGAGTTCCCGCTTGTTGGAAGCTTGTTTGTTTCTATATGCCCACAAGTGCTAAAGTCACTGAAAAAGCATTTTCTCATAGTGTGTGTGTGTGTGTGTGTGTGTGTGTGTGTGTGTGTGTGTGTGTGGTGTCAGCGTGTTCGTCTGTGCATGCGCACATGTGGAGGCCAGAGCTGCGCACAGGGTGTTGTTCCTCAGGCACTGTCTACCTTGTCCATTTTGAAGCAGAGTCTCTCAATGGCTAGCTGGCCAGTGAGCCTCATCACAAGCATGTGCTACAATATCCAGATGTTTTTACAGCTGTGGGTTCTGGGGATTGAACTCGGGTCCTCACGATTACATTGCAAGCACTTTAGGGACTGAGCTATCTCCCAGCACCCCCGGGAGCAGAAGTGAGCAACACTGTACACGGTGACAATTCCTGACTTGTAGTTGCTGCAGTATCTCTCTCCACTGCAGGGCCCACTCTGCAAAGAGCTTGAGTCCTGCCATCTAAAGAAGCTGCCCTGTGGAGTTCTCCTTAGGCAGGGCTGCTATTGGCTGTACAAAGATGGCCTTGAAAACTACACCTCTCTTGGTTACTGACTTAGAGATAAAACCCAGCCCAAGGCTACCTATGAAGCTTACTGTGCGTTTTGCTCTCACTGTAACTGTGTAGATGCAGAATTAACTTCCTGAGATGGGCCGCATCTTTCAGAGGAGCAGGTGGGACATATTAACACGGCAAGCTCCTTGGTGTTCCCCCTTTGCAGCAGGATGGGACCCAGCTGCCGCTGAGGCTGCACAACCATTTGTAGTCCTGCCGCAGAGCAAGAACTGAGCGGGAAGGGGCTCCGAGGGAGGAATACACTGTTGTTGTTTTGAGCAAGGCCTCGTAGCCCATATTTGGCCAGGAACTAGTTGAGGTCAAGGATGACCCTGGACTCCTGTTCTTCCAGCTTCCGCCTCTTCAGAGTGCTAAGAGTACAGGCCTGTGTGCCACCACCCAAATCAGTGTGTGCGGGGGCTCAAGCTCGGCGACCTGTGGCACGTGAGGTCAGCTCTCTACAAGATGAGCTACGCTGTCACCCTCCTTTTTGCTTTCATTTCTAGGATTTTATTTGTGTGTGCGTGCGTGTGTGTGTGTGTGTGTGTGTGTGTGTGTGTGTGTGTGTGTGTGTGACTGTTACCATGGGAAAGTGTCACAGGGCCAGTCCCAGAGGCTATGCATTTTCTGACAGATTCCATCTGGAGGTGACTGCCTCCATCTGTGGGCTTCTCAGCTGAAATGTGGAGGGTAGTAAGTGGAGAAAAAGAGACCACCTAGGAAGAGAGCATCTCTTAAAGGTAAATGCTTCCTGCAGAGGAAGGAAGGAAGCAAACATGGAGCCTATGCATCATAACTGGGTCTAGTGAGCCCTGCTTAACAACACTGCAGACTGTGTATGCACCTGACTGTGAGCTGAAGAGTGGAGGGTTTGCACAGACAGCCTGTGTGTGTGTGTGTGTGCGCGCGCGCGCACTTTCCCTAGGCTTAGGAGGGAGATTAAGCCTTGCTCATCTTTACCTGATATGTAGTGAGTTCATGAGTTTTTGTCATATTGAAAGATGCCTCCACCTCAGCTCGTTGCCATTTGATGGATGTTCAAAAATGCCTTCCAAATAAGGAGAAGCGGGCAACTGGTGCTCAGGCCTCACCACCACAGCTTGTCATGCTCAAGGACTCCAGAGAAAGTGTAGCAACCCCACCCCACACACTTGCCTCCTAAGCCTAGGGAAAGTGCCTGCAGCTCTCCGTACGTTTTATGGAACGTTGTTGCTGAGAGGAAACACTTTCAGAACATGATTCTCTCTCTAAATGAGTCTCCAGGACATCTGTGCTGCAGACAGCTGAGCCTCCAAAGAGAGGTGACTGCTGGTATGACAGAGTTATGTGAGAACCGGCACCGGGTACTAGCCTCGGTCTTTGGTGGGTCCCAGAAACTGTTCTCTTTTCTCTCTCTGCTGCTGGAAGCCCCGGGCTCCCCTTTGCCCTGAGGAAGTTGCAGTGGGAATCCTCAGTCAGGCCTGACTCAGGCAGACTGAATGTGACAGGGCCCTGGGGCACTCCTGCAAGCCCTGCCCAAGACCACATGGCTGACTTTCCCCTGCATCTCACATCCACGTGTAGCACTGAGCCCTGCCGTTCCAGACCTGACCTGCAGTGGCTGCTCCTAGTGCTGCCCTGGCTCTCCCTACACCAACCCTCGACCGAGCCTTTTTTTTTTTTTTCTGTTTTAAAGATTTATTTATTTATTGCATATAGTGTTCTGTCTACACACCAGAAGAGGGCACCGGATTGAACTGTAGATGGTTGTGAGCCACCATGTGGTTGCTGGGAAATGAACTCAGGACCTCTGAAAGAGCAGTCAGTGCTCTTAACCTCTGAGCCATCTCTCCAGCCCTCGACCGAGCTTTTCGAGACAGGGTTTCTCTGTATAACAGCCCTGGGTGTCCTGGAACTTCCTCTGTAGACCAGGTTAGCTTTGAACTCAGAGATCCACCTGCCTCTGCCTCCTGAGTGCTGGGATTTAAGGTGTGTGCCGCCATGTCTGGCTTGGTCCAGGTAATTCCTAATTCTCTATTGATTCTATGCCCTGCAGATGTTTATCACCAACCCTAGCCCTAGATGACAGGAACCACCCCCTCTCTGCTTGTGACAAGTAAAAACGTCTCTAGGTACTGCCAAAGCTCCCTGGCTGTCAGTGTCACCCCTCCAGAGAAACACAAGACTGGTAAGCAGCCGGCTGCTCAGTTGGGGGCAGTCTCCCTCTTCTGGTTCCCCTACCATGGGATCTTCGTCTTCCTGACTCGCTGCAGAGGTTTGCAAACGCCAAGGCCCCCCACCTATTGCTGGACTGGGACTTTGCTCTAGATTACATTTTCTATAAACTTTGTCTCTCCTGAACACAGAGCTGAGCTGAGCTGCTGTCTCAAAACCACATACTAGTTTCACTAAAGGAGGTGCACGGGCAAGCCAGGCCTGGGCACATTTCCCAAGCACAATGTTCTAATCCTGTGAGTTTCGAAGCACCATGGCTACAAGCATTTATCATCCATTATCTCATTTAAACCCTACACCAGCCTCACCAGGTCAGCTCTATTGCTATGGCCATATGGTTTCTTGAATTCTGCTGGCTGGCAAGACACTTTTCAGGACAGGCGTTAAATACCTCCTGGTTAACTGCCTGCAAGTCTTACCTTGTCAGTCAGGCTGCTGTTGCAGGCTGGGTGTGCCAGGAGCAGTCGCACCAAGTCGGCGTTGCCTTGGTGACAGGCCAGCATGAGGGCAGAAGATCCGTCATGGTCCTGCAGGTTGACATCTGCCTGGCAGCTCAGCAGTGCTTGGACCATGTCCTCCCGATCGTGGCTAACTCCTAGCATCAGTGCAGTCTGGCCTCCCTGCACAAAGAGAGACAGCAGAGGCTGAAGCTGGATGTGTCCAGCAAAACTTCTCAAGGAAATGGTCATTGATCGGATCTCCCCTCCACCAGTAGCACTGGACATGTCCTTTTCTTTCTGGCTAACTTTGCTTTCCCATAACTCCCGTCCAAACCGTGCCTGGCTTCCCAGCATGGGCAGCATCACACAGACAGTACTTACTGATTGCATTCCAATTTCCCTTTATGCTTAGGGGGTTCAGAAGTTGACAGCAGGGGCTGTTCTTATTTCTTTGATTTTACTTTTTGTACTACAGAGGATTAATTTCAGGAGCCCACACGCTAGACAAGTACTCTGCTACTGGGACTCCCCTAGGGACCATTATCTTTGTGTCAGTCTCTTCATGGCCTAGCACCAAGGATTTGATGGAATGTGTTGACCGATGGAGGGTGTGAGGGCTATGGCTGCAGCCCATGCCTCCTTTCCCTGGGAAGCTTCAGTGTCTCTTGGGTTTTGTTTAAGGATACCCAGAACCTTCTTGTCTCAACAAAACCTGCTTGCTAGCCTCTAACTCTGACCAGCGACAGTATGGTAATCTTTTACATCCCCGTCGTCACCAGTGGACATAGCAATGGGTTAGACGCAGAGAACCAACCCAAGTTCTGTCTCTGCAGTTTAATGTGCGACTATGCCAGGCCCTGTCTTGGTTTTCCTTTGCTTGGGAATTACTCCTATAATTATTTTTCCTGCAGCAGTGGTGGTGCATGCCTTTGATCCCAGCACTTGTGAGGTAGAAGCAGGTGGATCTCTGTGAGTTCGAGGCCAGACAGGTCAGGTAGAACTACACAGAGAAACCCTGTCTCAAAAACACTAAAAAATATTTTTTTCTGTGTGCTTTATGTGGCTCTTGTGGGAATCAAGTGAGATAAAGAATATAAATACAGTAACATGAGGTGGCAATTTTTCTGAGTGTAAAATGACAATTACTTCTTATTTATACGGGTCCACTACTTGTTCCTTTATTTCCTTATAGCCTTCCCCTATGACTTACTGTATTTTTACCTTTTTGGGCTTGAAGGTCAAGCTTGTCTCTCCAATGGGATATCAGGTTCCCAAGAATAAGGCGATGTCTATTCCTTCTCTCCCTTCAGATCCCCTGTGGCTCTAAACCAGCGGTTCTCAACCTCCCTAATGCTGCAAACTTTTAACACAGCTCCTCATGTTGTGGTGACCCCCAACCATACAGTTATTTTTGTTGCTACTTCGTAACTATAATTTTGCTACTGTTATGAATCGTAATGGAAACATCTGTGTTTTCCAAGGGTCTTAGGTGACCCTGTGTAAGAGTCACTCAACCTTACAGGGGTTGCGACCCAGAGGTTGAGAACTGCTGCTCTGATGACGTCCATGTCAGAAGCACTGAGGACACGCTGCCGGTGTTTCAATCACCACGTGAGAAAGGGGATCTGCAGTCAGAAATTTCTTGGCTCTGTCACTCAGCATATGAGTGGACGAGACACAAGCAAGTTCATCTCTGCACAGTCTCTTGATGAGGGAGGGCAGGGATGGTTAATGCCTCAGGGAGCCATGCGGAGGCTCAAGGGCCTCACAAGTTAGTAAGTAAGTGTCCACTGCCATTGTTTCTAAGAGAGTTAGAGGCAGTGTGCAGCAGTTGCTCGGTAAGCGAGTATGAATAGCTAACTGTTTTGAGTCCCCATTTCTCTGGAACCCTGACAGATCTTTCCAGAGATTACCAGTTTGCCTTTGAGAGGGTGATTACTCGGCCTGGAGGTAATGGCTGCTTAGTGGATTGACTAGGCCTGAGGTTTCCTCTCCCCAGCCTCGACAAAAACCAGGTCTGATGGCAGAGAGCCCTCCTGAGACTCTTGGGGCTCCTCCTCCTTACCTTTCTTTTGGTCTAGATTGACACAATTTAGTTTCGTTCAGAAGTTGGTCATTTCCTGAGAGGCTCTGCAGTGACCTTGGAGATGGGAAGATGTATCTCACAGAGCCTCCTAGCTCACTCCCATCCAGTGAGGTGTGGTCATCCCCCTCAAAGTCCCAGGGAAGCCAAGGAAAACAGCTGCAGCTGTGGATCCCAGGCTTTTCCCTGGTGACCTTCCTAGAACCCACTGCGTCTCAGGGAAGAGGAGGGATTGGCTTTGATTATGGTGAACATCCCCTTTTCCAATTAAGAAAAGTCAACATGCTTGTTAGGATAATGCTATTTAAAATAAAAATACTGTATAGCATCTTCTGGGATAGGAGTTGTACGTGGGTAAGAATATCTGAAAACCAGAAAGTTTGCCATCCACAGGAAGCTATTAGAAAACAGCAACATTTCCCCAAATCATGTTTCCTCTGTGTGTGTGTGTGTGTGTGTGTGTGTGTTTATGTGCAAGCTGTGTGTGCAGGTATATGACAGCTGTGCTCTACAATTGTCCATCTTAGTCCTTTGCTGGCAGTCAGCAGCCTCAGCAATCCTCCTGTCTCTGCTGCCCACAGACCTGGGGTTATGGGTGTGTGCAGAGCCACGCCCACTTTTTAAATATGAGTATGGGGATCCAAATGCTTGAGCACCAAGTGTTCTAACCACCTAACCATCTCCCGAGTCCCTGGAAGCTCCTGGATGAGGTACTTTCTGCAATTTTGGAGAGTGAAACAGAGTGGAGTTCAACACAAATATTTAGCATTATTATTTTATGTGTATGTGTGTGTGTGTGTGTGTATGTGTGTTGCCTGCATGTATGTCTTTTTGTATATTGTAAAGATGACACTCTGATTGGTTTAATAAAAAGCTGGATGGCCAATAGCGAGGTATGATTTCCAGGTACATAGGATGTTGGGAAGAAGGGTGGAGTCTCAGCCAGGCACGGAGGAAGCAGGAAAGCAGCATGGGCAATACAGAATAAAGGAAATAAAGCCACAAGGCAGGAAGTAAATTAATAAAAATGGGTTAATTTACCTTATAAGAGCTAGTGGGACAAGCCTAAGTTACTGGGCAAGCTTTCATAATTAATAGTAAGTTTGTCATTATTTGGGAGCTGGCTGGTGGGATAGAAACAAATCTGACTATATATCTATGCTCAAGGAGGTCAGAAGAGAGCATTGGATCCCCTAGAACTGGAGTTATAGATGGTTGTGAATAGCCATGTGGGTGCTGGGAATTGAACCGGGTCCTATGGGAAAATATCTAGTGCTCCTAACCAATGAACCATATACCCAGTCCCCAGATGAGCTTTTAACATAGATTTACACAGCAAACAGCTTTTAAAGAGGCAGTGTCTCCTAAGACAGGTCAGTCTTGCTCACCGACTATTATAAAAGATTCAGGTTCTCCAAATTCAGGGTTTCTCTCCTATGATACAGCAGCTGTGGCTTGCTAACAAGTGTTAAAGGCTGGCTACCTAGCCTCTCCCCCTCCTTCCCTCTGCTGTGTGTTCCTGCCATGACATTCTGTACCACTACTGGCAAAAAGGCAATGGAACTAAGCAGCCAGAGGCTGACCCTCTGAAGCCCAGATAAGCCTTTCCTTTGTATAAGTCCCTGGGAATGACCCAGGCCCTCAACATACTAGGCAGGGACACACTGCCACCAGCTACACCCTTTGACTATTAGTGACTTATTTCAGGTATCACTCATTCTGGTTGGTGGGGAGGTAAGGAAAGACAGGAGAAGTTAGAGACCAAGTTACTTTAAGAACCAAAGAAGCATGTCAGTCATATTGCTCAGTTGCAGAAGAATCCTCCAGTAACCCCCTGGGTAAGAAGAGCCTGGGAAGCAGGGATCCTTATAGCCCCTGGGAGTAAGGGACTGGTGACAACTCCTGCCTGTCCTGCTACACACTCTCTCCATCAGTCTAATGGAAATTCGTGACTTTATTAAAATGGCTTTGGATGGACAGAGAGATGGCTCAGTGACTAAGAGTATGTGTTGCTCTGACATATGACATGACTTTGGTTCCCAGCACCCATATGGGACAGCTCACAACTGCCTGTAAATTCAGTTCCTGGGGATCCGACACCTCTGACCTCCAGAGGCACACACACGCGCACGCACGCACACACACACACACACACACACACACACACACAAACACACACATTTAAAAATAATAAAATATCTGGGTGTGGTAGTATATGCCTTTAGGCCTTTAGGCAGAGGCAGGCAAATCTCTCAGTTTGAGGTCAGCCTGAGCAAGTTACAGGATGGCCAGGGCTACACAGAGAAATCCAGTCTCAGAACAAACAACAAAATCTTCCTTAAAAAGGCTTTAGAGAGATGATTGGCAATAACTCTAAATACTGAGCTTCTAAGTGTGTCCTGGGTCAAGATCTGGTGAGTCACAAAGACAAGCAACTACAGCAGCCAGCCAGCAAAGTCTAACATTAGGGTTCCGGTCGGAGAATTTAAATCCAGGTGGAATTGTCCTGTGTTAGTTTGGAACACAAACCAGGTGGCTCAGTGACCCCTGTGCCAGTCTTCTTGGTCCCAAGAGCCTTTAAGGAAGATCAAGTATTGGACTTTTGGATAGATGCCATTTATGGCCCCAGCATTCTGGAGTGGAAAACGCTCTATGGATATGAATGGAATTCTTCACCCTACTGGCAGAACAAAACTGGGGGGTGTTATGTTTGTCGAGAAGCAGAGAGATCAAGTGCTGTCCGCCTACCTGAGTTGCTTGGATGTTTACATTCCCCTCTCGCAAGAGCTTCCAGACAACAGCCATGTCCTCTTTTGTCTCTGCAGAAGCCAAGGGAGTGATCATCACAGCAGTGTAGCCAGCTTTGTTCTGATGATCCACGTTGCAGACACCTACAAGGGAAGGAATGAGTGTTGGAACAGCCGGGCTGGAGACAGACTGGGTTTCAACAGTTCAACAGAACACTGCTTGCTGGCTAGAACACATGGACTCTGTTTCCACAGCAAAGTCACTGCCTTACATTCCTAGCAGCCATTAGAACTGGCTAATTTTCTCTATAGGCTTTCTGAGGATGCCCAACAAAGGAGGATCATAAAAGGGCCAGAAGCAGATAAGGGGTCAATGACAATGACTTTATTTCGAAAACCTGGGCACAACTCACCATCTTCCCAGAGGAGGACATTTAAAAGCCAGAGAGGTCACATAAACTATTCACATGATGGAGGAGGGACCAGGATTTGGGACTGCCTGGCACCTGAGCCCATCCCTCTTTTAGCTACACAGCACTCACAGGTGTGTCTACAGGCTACTCTTGCTAGCTCATATCATGTGGAGCTCAAAACGATGGGCCAGTGGTAGGGCCTACCCAAGGGCTCGGGTACCATGTACCGGGGTGTGAAAACAATACAGGACAAACAGAAAATCTCTGAGGGTGGAAAAGAACTTCCTAATTCTTGTACTGGAGCAATAGAGAATTCACCTTTCATGATAGAGTGATAAACTGAGGTATTTTTAAGATGAGGTGGTAAAAGCCGGGCGTTGGTGGCACATGCCTTTAATCCCAGCACTCGGGAGGCAGAGGCAGGCGGATCTCTGTGAGTTCGAGACCAGACTGGACTACCAAGTGAGTTCCAGGACAGCCTCCAAAGCCACAGAGAAACCCTGTCTCGAAAAACCAAAAAAAGAAAAAAAAAAAAAAGATGAGGTGGTAAATGATAATTTAAAAGACAGCCCTGAGCCACAGCCCGGGGACACGCTTCCATGTCCTTCTGCATCAAAGAAGCTACAGGGCTACTATACATAGACTGAGACCTGTGGTCCTGATGACCCCTCCCCCCACCAGGACAGTTTTGTGCTGTTGCTCACTGCAGAAAGTTGGTGGCTGAGGTAAAATTAAATCTGTCTCTGTAATCAGGGCAGCACAGCCTGCTGTATCCTCCCCTGCTACGAGGGAATGACAATGGGACCTACCTTTAAGGGCTATTACAAAATGTCTGGTAAATCACCAGGAACAGCACATAGTAAATACCAGAGACCACTGGCAGCCGTTGTTCCCATTCAGAGTGACACTCGTGTAGACTTGGATATTTTTACAACAAATCTGGTTTATGAAAAGATGTCAATTAGGGACAACTCTAAGTTCTGTGAAAGAGAAAAATGCTGCTTCATCTCACTCAAAGGATGTTTCTGAAGTATGCCATAGGAGCACAGATGACAGCGGACACAGACAAGCGAATCCGGCTCATTAGCCAGTTTTCTGCCTCCCTGAGGACCCCACCACTGTCATGATCAGGCAGATGACAAAGGCTGTGTGACAGCTCTATTTGTCACAACCATGACCTGATATAGACGTGGACACAGTGAGGTGGGTCCTTGCCACCAACCTGACAACCTGAGTTCAGTCCCTGGGGCCTATATAGTGGAAGGAGAGGATGACTCTTACAAATGTCCTCTGACCTCCACCTGCATGTATACTGGGGCACATGTGTCCCCACCCCCACAAATAACTATAATCTAAAAAATATGTAGATACCTGTGTTGCCTTCTTAATATGTTTTAGTTGTTTTCTCTGACTATTTGCTTTAGGAAGTGTAACTGCGTCGGGTTAGCAGCTTTCTTGTATCTCTTTAGAAACATGATTGATGGAACAGTAGAGTGACGTCGCCCCCCTCTCCAGAGCACAGAAGGAGGCTGAGGACCCACATTCTTACAGCAGCTGCTTTTGAGCAAGTCAGTCATGGAGGAGAGAGAGGGGGAAGGCTCTCAACTGAGCATGCTTCCACTCAGTGAGCAACAGTGGCATTCGGGCAAAATAAAGAACGCCTCACTAAAGTGGCCCACAGAAGGGTACTTAATGGCTCTCTCCGTAACGACTCACTTGGTCATGTACCTTCTGAGTGAAGGGAGCCCAGGCTTGGGAGTGTGACTGTCGCTCAGTGATCGACACCTTTCACTGACGTTGAGGAATGACACATTCAGCTGAAACAGAAGGCTCACTCCTGGATCACCTTTGCATCCCCGACTCGTAAGTCATAAGAAGTCGACAGATATTTGATGAAAGATGCATGAGTCAAATTGGCTAATAGGAGCCATGCTTTTGTTAAACAGTGTTTTATGGAGACAAGAGAAGGTGGCCTTTCCTAAGATGTGGCATTGTTCTGGAGCTGGACAGACTAACTGCAAAATCTGCTTTATGACCCGAGCAAAGTCTATAACCCAACACGAGAGGGATCATACTGATGACACCATAGGGTCAAGAAAATACTGTGCAGTATCAATGGCAGCGTGCAGGCAATGGGGACTTGCTTCTGCCATGCATATACTAAGAGATGGGATGATCAGAGATTAGCGTGGGCCCTGTGCCAGGAAGACATGCAAAGTTGTGAAGATCTCTGCATTAACAAAACAACAACAACAAAACGTGCATTTAACCCCAGCACTTGGGAGGCAGAGGCAGTGGAGCTCTGTGAGTTCAGGGCCAGCCTGAGCTACCCAGTGAAACACTGCCTTGAAAAAAACAAAACAAAAACCAGGCTCATGGTCTGGCCCTGTTCCTGGACTACAAGAGGAACTCAGCGTGACGAGAAGGCAGTGTGATACAAGGCGGCCCTCACTGTAGTCCCACATACTCAGGAGGCTGAGGCAGGAGGATGATTTGAGTCCAGGAGCTCAGGGGATAGCTTGGGAGACATAAATAGACCCCGTTTTATAAGAACCAAAAGGTGGGCCTTCAAGAGTCATGCAGACGTCACAGAGTCATTTCTGACCTGTGTCCAGCAGTAGCTTCACGATGGCGAAGTTGGAGTGCGACACGCTGTAGTGGAGGGCTGTGTTCCCACTTCGGTCAGCCAGGTTGACGAGCAGCTTCAGCAGATGGGGATGAGGCTGGACCTCGAGGAGGTAGGCGGCCACCACTGCAGGGCTAGCTAACTTCCGGCTGGACACGCGGAACCACTCCTGACTGATGGTGCTCAAGCTTTGCCGCTGGAATGGCAGAAGATTTGCTTACAAGAGATTCCCTGGCCTAGGTACCCTGGTTAGCGCTCTCTGTGACACTTGGATAGGTCATGTGCTGCTTCTGTCTCGCTTACTCATCCCCGCAGCTCTTCCTGTGTTTTATCTGGGGGATGGCAGGACCAAGAATCCTGTCGCACACTTGATGTTGGTATGATTCTCCCGGCCCTCCAATTCCCACCCGTTGGCAACTATATACAAAACAAACATCAGGCAGAGACCTCAGCTGTGTGTGTGACAAGCGCAAATGTTCAAGACCACACGTTTAGAATATTTATCCAAAGGGCAAGAGATGCTATCGGGATGTGGTTATTATAAATGACTTTATGCTCATTCTGGAAGTGGCTCCAGGTTTAGGCATTAAATTCACATGACCAGATACAAGCCCTGAGTCAGCTGTGTGACCATATGCTCTCACTGAATGTTTCTTATTCCTGTTATAAAAGGAGGTTGGCTTCCTTGTTTCCTTGGTTCTATAGGGTGATGTAATTTTAAAATCTACTTTGTCTCTTAGGCAGGGGCAAGGTGGCAGAGACGAAGGGATACACATCCTATCGTTTGATTTAATGTGGGGTGGTGCCAAGGTTGCATACACATGGGCTTTTGTCACATTTCCAGAGCAGAAACATCACTTATTTGTGGCCGAAACATTTCCCTATATCAGGATATCTTCTCTATCTAGGGAATCAAAAAAATCTGGAGGAAAGCCCTGGTATGACAGAATGTAGAGGTAGATTTTAAAGAAGGAACCGAAGCTGGTGGAATGCTTGCTTAGCAGGCATCCAATTCTTAGCACCACTTAAAAGCAGGCACAGTGCAGGTGGAGGCAGTGCTTGACTACATAATGAGTCTGAGGTCAGGTTGGACTGACGAGACCTTATCTCAACAGAAATGGATGAATGGATGGATGGATGGATGGATGGATGGATGGATGGATCGAGACCTTATCTCAACAGAAATGAATGGATAGATGGATGGGTGGATGGATGGATGGATCGAGACCTTATCTCAACAGAAATGAATGGATGGATGGATGGATGGATGGATGGATGAATGAACAGATGGTTGAAACAGTGCTTAGGGATGTAATTTGAGTACCAGGAGTCTCTATTTATACCTGGAAATGGGTTGGGTGAGTAAGAATCACTTCTGAAATGATCATTGTTACTCTCTGGGCTGCTCTGCTGAGGGGCAATGGGCTTTGAAAGTGCTTACAGGTTTTACCACTTTGGATCTGACAGCTGTCTCCCGGCTCAGGCCAGTAGCTCTTGATTAAAATTAGAACGCAAGGATTACAGGTTCAAATCTCCGTGGGATACACGGGTGGGAAAGCTCAAACGGAGATACATTCTTATTTTTGGTCTCTTGTGAGGACTCTAAGGTGATGGAGACAGGCGACCAGTCACTGTCACTTACAGTTGGGGAAGCCAGGCCCTGCACATTGAATTAACGGCCTTTGGAAGAGGTCCTAGAAGTAAACCCAAGCCCGCATCCCACATGCCTTTTCTACTTTACCCATGGTTTTGTTGAGCTGCAAGGCACTTTGGAGACTAAGCCACTGAGTTTAGTGGCAGACGCTTGGTTATGGCTTCTAAAAATACTTGGTAAAATGCCTCTGAGCCCATGGCTAGCTTTCTTGTCTGTATTAACCCTTCTATTCCCTCAGCCTAGCCCATCTCCTGAGGTAACAGCATTTGGATAAATCACAGAATGCCTGAGGAATGGGACTCGGTGTACACACACACTCTGCTACCTCGGGTAATGAACCATAGTCACCCCACAGGAAACCTCCATGTATCAGTGGAAATATGAGTACCAGGAGCTGCTCGGTGATGGCCCCGGTTTCTGGCAGGTGTTGACTCAGCGCCTGGCATGCGTTTAGAAATTCCTCTGACGGTTTACACCTAAAGAAAACGGAGAGATTATATCGTTCAATATGTTGACAAAAAAGACATTCACCTTCAGCAGCTGCAATGATCAAGCTGGGCAACTACTCCATAACGAGGGGCATTTCCTAAGAAACATGGCCATGCCAGGCGGTGGTGGTGCACACCTTTAATCCCAGCACTCGGGAGGCAGAGGCAGGCAGATCTCTGTGAGTTTGAGGCCAGCCTGATCTACAGAGCTAGTTGCAGGACAGTTAGGGCTACACAGAGAAACCCTACCTTGAAACCCCCCCCCCCAAAAAAAGGAAAGGAAAGAAAAGAAAGGAACATGGCCGCTCATAGTTCTATGTGGCTGGGCATCTGAGTGCTTCTGAAGGTCAAACACTTTCTTCCCACACTGCTTTGGGCAGGGGCTGGAGCAGATAAGGGAGGCATCAGGCCAAAGGCCCAATGCTAGTTATTGTCATGCCAGGAAGGAAAGCTGCCCCTGCCTGCTGGGTGCCCCCCAAAAAAATCCAACAAACAAACCTGCACCAGCAGTTTCTCCTGATTAGTCCCCCATGAAGGACATGACCAACCCAAACAGAGTCGGTAAAATGAGAAGCTGTGAGACTGGGGTGTCACAGTGACAGGCACTTGTCCCACTGCTGTGAGGGCCTTCTCTTTCACGGAGATTTAGTAGCATGGCAGTGGGGCCGCCCTGTGGGCCTGTTTTCAGTCAGCTCTGTTTTTCCATCCTGCAAACCCGTGATGAGGATGGCAGAGGTGACGCCTGTGGTTCCAGCTGGCCTATCTCTGTGTATTGAGGGCCCCTCTGTGCGGGGCATTTCACAGCCATTTCTTCACACAGTCCTCAGATCAAACCTATCTGGCTGCTTCAAGGACACTGAGGTGACTAAGCCAAAGACCCTGATGGCCAAAGCGGGGAATTGCAACTGTGGTGCTACTGTCACAAAATTCCAGCACTCTGGCTTTGGCAGAAGAAACTGCAAAAATCAGAAGGCCCTGGGCTCAAACCCTTGCCCTACTTAGGGGCATCCCCTCACCTCCCAATGTCTTTGCTTCCACATCTGCAAAGCAAGGATTGTAGGAAGTTCTACCTACAGGGACTACTAAGGGATTCCTGATATACATGTCAAGTCCAACCTGTTTATAGTGCCAACAAAAATGCTGGATATACATACATACATACATACATACATACATACATACATACATACACGAAGAACTTGGGCCATTTGGATTGTTCCTCGGGGAGGCGGGGTCACATTTGTTTGGTTCACTCAGCCCAGGGGTTGGCACAAAACAGAACCTCAGAGAAATGCTGGACAGACAGTGGGACTAAATGAAGGAGAAATATGCCCTCGCCCCTCTTCAGAGGAACATATGTCCCATGCCTGCGACTCACCTCTCAGGCTTCAGATGAGAGACTTCCTCCCCAGACCCACTCGTCTGGCCCGAGTTACTGCTGATGCCTTCGGGGACATCCTGCCCAGCCTCACAGGCGGGATGCATGCCTCTGCCCTGTCTGGGCTCTGAGCAATCACGTTTCTTCTCAGTCTCGCCGTCAGACACGTCCTCAGGGGAGCTGTCCTCCCCGCTGGTGTCCTCACTGGAAGTGGTCTCATAGCTAGGAAAGACACAAAGGTCAATTGGTTCATCCTTCTAGACCAGGGCCAGTGGTTCACGTCAACACCAGTACATGCTTCTGGAACCTACTCTTCGGTCCAGAGAGGCGCTCAAGTCTAGGTTGGCATCCCTATATCTGCCTAAGATTCCTAGCTGCCTCTCTTCTCTGCATGGCCAGGAACCCTCCTCTAGCCACCCTGCTCCAGCCTGGATTACATCTGACCGTGGTGAAACCCTCAACACCTGCTCCACACAGGCTCTAATGAGATAGCAGCCACAAACAAAATGACAGTGAAGGGAGGAAGACTTACTTTACCTTGAACACAGGTTCCAGCTGGCCACAGTGGTACATACCTGCCATTTCTGCACTCAGGCAACCAAGGCAGCAGAACTGAGTATGAGGCTATCCTGGACTACATAGTAAGGCTCTGTCTCACTAAATAAAGTGTGTTTGTGTGTGAAAAATATAGGCTCCTAACCTTGGCTGCACACCGGAACCTTTGGAGTGTTTAGCATTCTCAGTACGTGGACTGCACCCCAAGCTCACTACACCAGGCTCCATGACTGCAATCAAGATTTTCCAAAGCTTGGTATCCCTGCTATGCAGCCACACTGAGCACCATGATTCTAGAGCTCCAAATGCTGAGAAATGGCCAGGAGAAGACTCTGGGCAGGGCAGGCAAGGAGGAAGAAAGGAAGGTGGCCAAGCCGTCAGGGCCTTTTCGGGAATGGGTTAGAGCCCTTCATGCTTCTGTGACACTCGGTACTTCCTCACCGAGAGAACAACCAATCAGAAGTCCCCCCTTCCTTACTTTTTTTAGAATTATATTACATCTATTTATTCATTTATGTTCTCTCTCTCTCTCTCCACACACACACACACACACACACACACACACACACACACACACACACACCACAGTGTGTGCACGGAGGTCAGAGGGCAGTCTGAGGGAGTCAGCTCTCCTTCCACCTTGTGGGGTCCTAGGGATTAAACTCAGTTCCTTGGGCTTGATGACAGCACTTTTACCTGCTAAGCCATCTTACCCGGCTCTCTTTGTTTCCTGACTTACCTTTGAGTTAAAGGTATCAACTAGGATTTACTTGCCTCTTTTTTTTTTTACCTTGTTGCCAAGCATACAGCTGTATTTTAATGCATGTTTATGAAATGACCAATTTAGGATGCATCAGGTACAATTTAAGAGCACACCATTGAACCACAAACCGCATAGACCCCAGATTATGTTGCTTAGTGATATCACTGATGTCGTTACTTATGCAGTACTCTGATGTCCACAAAGTGATAAAAATCCCCAAGAATGACTTTCTCAGAATGTATTCTTGTTTCTAGATGACACGTGACCATACTTAATACTCAAATCCACCAGTCTAGAGAGGGTTTGACTCATGTTCCATTTCAATGGACTACTTGTATTTGGTTTTAATTTGCAGTACAATAAGGGAAGAAAAAAATTAACTGGATTGGGCTTGGGGATGTCATAGTAGATAGAGTACCTACTGGTGTGTACAAGACCAGGGTTCAAGTCTCAGCACCATAAATAAACAGAGATCAAGCTTGAAGTTCAAGAAACCAGCAAAGCCTGTGTTACTTTCAGTGTTGTGCTCAAGTCAGGGACCTTCCTCAAAGGACCCCGAGACCCTGACACTCCCACAAGCCACCTGGAGGTGGGTTCCGAGGAGACCAGGACAAGCCATTAAAAATAGAGGTTCCAACAGACCAGCGCAGTTGCCAAGGAGTCAGACATGTGCAAACCCAACAGGCCATGGAGACTGAATCCCTGCAGAAGAATGAGATGCAGATGTGTCCCCCAGGACTAGGGTGCTAAGGACAACAGTGTTAGGTAGCAGGGAAAGCAGTCCGAGCTTCACAAGCGATGCTTACCCACCGTTAACCCCAACAAACTGAAGGTTCTTTTTGGTCCCATTACCTCCTGCACGGAAGCCATAGTCTTTCTTTTTCATTATGGATTTAAGGCTGGTCGACGGAGAGATCTCTAGGCAGACACAATATCACAGGTTAGAATGACCTTAGGGTGGCCAGGCTAGGATTCTTGCTTTAAGGGGATATGGGTATATGAAAAGGGAGAAGCGAGCAGTGGAAGGTAATGAAGACTAGATGTTTTAGGGCTGTTAGTCAGAGGCCCCTGTGTTGAGTGTTTGTAGAACTGTCCCTAGGAATGACTTCACTCTTTGTATGTGGATGAGAGTAGCCATTGGAATGCTTCTTAGAACCATGTGTGTAGTGTCAGCATTGTCTTCATATCGGGGCTGGGAAATGTGGGGCTCAGACTTGCACACGGAATGGTATGGCAGAACTCAGGTCTTTGGATGCCGGTCTATACCCATCTCTACTCAACGGCATCTCAATAGTCCTTCCTGGAGAGTGTGCAAGTTGCTACCTGTGATGACACTGGACTCATGACCGATATGTAAATCAGGTCATAAGTCTTGCGCTATGTAACAGCATGGAAGACAGTTCCCCACAGCAAATCTAGAAGTAGCAGAAAAGTGAGAAAGTAGCAGATTTGTGACCCGTAGCAGGGAGCTGACTTGTATTCTCCAAAGCTATATGGTTCAGCTTTGCTCAACAGTGAAGAGTGTGTGTGGTGTCTCAGTCATTCATGCTCAACTACGGGCAAACCTCTATACATGAGAATCCCTTCCTCCCTCCTCCCGGTCCTCCTCCTTGCCCTCCCTCCTCACGCCCATTCCTCCCTCCCTCTTCCTCATCTTCCTATGTCGCAAATATTTATGAACTAGTTCAGGACTCATTATAATGCTCCCTCAAATTCAAGCTAGAGAAAACCTGATGTGAAAAGCCAAAGAGGAAGGAGGGAATTGCCAGAATCCAGGAAGCAAAAGGGAAGGCCCAGGAGGAGTGTACAGGCAGTGTCATTTGACATGGCCTATGCATAATGCATCAGGGACAAGGTACCCTCTGGGAAGACTCAGTGCTGCAGGCTTACGGCTTTTCCTCCATGCTGGGTATCTATGTGGCCTGTCTATCTGCTTAACTGTATGTGAAAGTCCTACAGCTAGACACAATCCAGCAACAAGGCCTCCACAGATCAGTTTTTATTACCTCGAGTCCCTGGGGATACTAAACTCTTTTTTCAAAAACATACTCATAATTAAAACCCCTAGTCCCTACAATTTGTCGTGTACAGAAGTAGGTCCCAGGCATCAGTATTTACCCGGTGGTGGTGGAGGGGTGGAGGAGGGTGGGGCAGGTGGTTCCTTCGGCTCTGGGGCCTGGGCTGAGTAGGCAGAGAGCAACAGGTTGAGGGAACTGAGCAGCTGGTTCTGGATGCTGCTGAGCTTGGAGGCAGGCTGTTTGATGGCGCTGGCCAGCTCCGGGTACCCATGCTCCAGGCAGTTCCACTGCTCATGCAGTAGCTCTTGGATCTTCTTAACATACTGCCCGATTGTGGCATCTTGTGGGGAACTTGCCGGCCTTCCTGGACGCTCTGCCCCTGGGAGCTCTGAGCTGGCCTCCTCCCTGATCACTGAGGCAGACTCTCTGGGGCTGCTCCAGGAAGAGGCTCCTGTCGCCCTGCTCAAGTCCTCGGCCCCCGCCTGTGGGCCTCTCTCCTGCTCAGAGACATCTTCTTCGATCCTGAGTTCCATGGAGAGGCAGCTGCATAAGGACGAGGCAAGGACCTGCTCAGGTCCCCTTGACAGCGACAGCTGGGGCGGCAGCACAGGCTCTTCAGGGCTCTGATGGCCTTGTTTGTGACTATTGTGGACCCGGGGGAAGCCATTCTTCTCTGCTCTAGATGCCCAGCATTCAGGATCCGGGGTTCTCAGCAGGTTGACCCCGATGTTCTTATCACATGATTCTCTGGGGATGAGCTCAAGAAGAGGGTCAGTGTTCACCGTGGCATCAGTCCGGTCTGGAGCACCACTGACCTTCTCTTGACTAAGTTTCTCTTCTAATTGGACTACAGTGCACTCCAGCTCTTGGATCCTCTGTTCCCTAGCCTTGGTCTCCTCTTGCTGCCATGCGAGGGCAGCTCTGACCTGGGTAAGCTCCTCTGTTCTCCCCGACAACTTGTCCTCAAGGGTCGAGACTTGATTCTTCAGGCTGGAGATACTACCGGTATCTGACCCCACCAGGCCCAGGCTTTCCTCTGTTACCCGGATTCCAATACTCCTCACATCTACCTCTATGGGAGGAGGAGGTGGGATCTCACTGATATTGAGCTCAATTTCCTCCAGGAAGAGCTCATTCTCAGGGATGGGGGAAGGCAGAGGGGGTGGGCTGGGTGTGGAGGAGCCAGAAGTTAACACCACCTCTGCATTCCTGACTTGGTGCTGAATTTCCACACCCTCTAGAACAATGGGTACATTCTGGACTGAGGAGGGAGGACCTGACTGAGAGAGGTGACTTGAAGTCTTTATGTCCCCTTCTTCAGGCTCAGCCCCCTCCCAGACCAGCTCTGGAATTGCTGGTCCCAGCTCTCCCACCCCTCTGTCTGTTGACTGGGTTGATGCTTGGAAACCTGTGAACCCTTCTGCAGAGTCAAAGGTCCTGTCACAGACACTGCTGTCACTCTGGAGCAGAGGGAGGGGAAGAAGCGTGGAAGGACCTGAGGTCAGGCTGGACTCATCCGGGGCCCGATTTTGCAACAGTGTAGCAGGCATGCTGGATGCTCTTAAAAGCTGGGGCCGTCCACTCCCTCCGTCTTCCAGAGCACCAGCCTCCACCTGCCTGGTATCCTCTGCCAACAGGCCCTTCCTGTGATAGCTCAACTCACTGCCATGCCCTGAGGCCTGGGGGACATCACCCAGCGGCAGTGACGGGGATTGCTCCTGGGTCCCCAGGGATATCTTTCTGGGCACCACGGGAGACCAGTTTCGCTGGGGAGGAGCAGCATGGGTGCGAGCACCACTGTCAGGAAGGCTGAAGTTTCGGGGCAAGGTACTAAACTTAGCCTGCTTGGCTCTTCTGTGGATAGGAATCCTTTTGATGGTGTGTCCCTTCTCAATGTCATCCACATATTTGAGGAAGTCCAAGTCCAAATGAAAGCCATAAGGGGTCTCTACAGAGTAAGGGTGGCTCTTTGGAGGGTCTTTCTCTTCCTCCCCCTGAGAAGACTGGTCCTTGGCTGGGAGATACAAGACATAAAGAAGGAAGCACATAGTTAAAATGGGGCTGAATGTCTGTGACTTTGACCTCACGTTACCTTATGAGCCTTCCCTCTGACGCTCTGTCCTTCAAAGGATGCTGCGGAACGTGTGGACTTGGTACCTGTGCTGGGATATCATCTTATCAAATCAGTGTGCATTTAGGCAACACCTGTACTTTCTTATTTTCAACATGCCATCTCAGTTGTTATCATGACCAGGAAAACAAAACTGTCTCACTCTGCTTTTCTTGGTTGCATCATGTAGCTGTTGAACCGAAGTCCAGCAATTTGTCAGAGGAGGGTACCAACTGACAATTATGGACATGGAAGATTCCACAGAGCAAGAGTCACAATTTTCTCAGCACTCAAAGAGAAACTGGTATGCCTCAAACAGATTCCAGGAAGTCTTGCAAAATGCTAAGATAATTGATAATTTATGACTCCTGCATTTATTAAGTTGCTGGGGTGCCTAAGCCTCTGGTTACCTAAAGACCCACAGGAATGGAGCAGGTGGTCATGGATGCCCAGTTTTCCTTCCCCCTGAAAACTGAGTAAGAGGTAACAATGTGAGTTCCTTTTTCAAAAGCCCGGGCTAATGAGGAAATACCACACTGTTCATGGACTGTGAAACAGTTGTCAAGGGAGGAGATCCCATAAATGTCAAAGAGGACAGACATATATCTTCATAGATGTGGGTCCTGTGACCTCTTAGGGAAGCCTGAGCCGTGCTTTTGTAAGCCAGGGCACCAACAATCTCCCTCCTGACTGCCACAGAAAACACGAGGAACTTGTCAGTCCTATGGCGGCTTGAAGCCATTGGGACTTACACAGATTATTTTTCCAGGTTAACTAGTCCTTTGGTGTTCTTCATATGACACTCTTGTTGCCTCTGGACATGGGGTGAGAACACACTGTGAGACCACTGAACTCAGAAGTCAAGAATACAACTTAGCTGGGTATGGTGGTGTCCATCGGCAACCTCAGCACTCAAGGCTGAGGCAACAGTTTAAGTCCAGGCTAGCCTGGCTGTAGAAGGATACTTTGTTTCAAAAGAAAACCAACAAAATCACCAGAAAAACAAAAGAGAATACAGGAGCCCAGTCTATACTCTGCTCTGTGACCCTGGGAAACCTACTCAGTTTCCCTGTGTCTCATTCTGCATAAAGTGGGAATAATCACAGGTAATGTAAGATTATTGTGAGGTCTAATTAATTAATAGTGAATATGATACACTCAGCCCCATGCCTAGTGCATGATAAATGTTCTCGGTATTATAGTTATTATTTTTGTGGAAGCTCAAAATGTAGAGAACTGATGGAAATCAACGTAGGTGACTCACCATTAGGAATTGAAGGAGGGCCTACACACATTCGCTGGGATTGATTGATTGATGAGTTTTTGGGCAAAAATATATAACTCATCAGCAAGTCAATCCATAAACCTCAACCACTATTTACCGAGTACCTATGTGTCAGTTGCTGAGCTATACATTGTAGAGACACAGAGATAAGTCAGTAACAGCCATTTCTCTCAAAGGATTTATGATCAAATACGGCAGCAGCTAACAATGCAATGTGCTGGATAACTGGACTTTGCCTACAATAGTCTTCTTTACTGATGAACTTTCCCCCTTTCTCTGGAAGCATTTTCTTGGAAATTAAGGAAAGAGTTGCCTTGCTAATGGAGGGAGACTTTACAAGAGTGACATAGATAAGAAGGAGTGTTATATGAGCAAACAGGAGTCTGCCAGAACAAGAGATCAAAAGCCTTTGTAAGCAGTTTATCTCCAAGATGGCTCCATCAGCCCCTTTAGACAAGCAAGCTAATTCCACAAGGAAGAGGGATCTGTTTCTCCACAACTTTGATCTCTGCTGGCTTGCAAAGCTCTGACCAAAAAGAACATGGCAGTGATGGTGCTAAGGATAGGCCATAAGGAGACTGGTAGTTTCTACCACGGCCTCTCAGGATGCACATGTGTTGAGAAGCCAGCTACCATGTAAGAACTCTCTGAGGCTGTCATGATGTCATGATGCTTAATCAGCTTCTCATATAAGTTATCTAGAGAGGGAGAAGGCATGGAGAGAGGGAGCGACAGAAAGAAAAAGACTGCCCTAGCCGTCTTAGCCCAAATTCCAGACATAAGTATAAAGAAACATTAGACTTTGACTACAGGAAGGATCCCAAGCGAGGAACTCTCAGCTAAATCTGGACAGAGCATCAATTACTGTGGGAAACCATTAAGTTTCAGGGTGGTCCCAGCTGTAGCAACAGGCAGTTATTCTCCAGGTAGAAGTCAGGGAAATGGCAAAGACACAGAGGTGTGAGCTCACACAGCACACCAGTAGTGGGTGAAAGTTTACATGGCCACAGCTTAATGTGTGGGATTGAAGAGTAAGGGAGGAAGACAAACTGGAGAAAGCGAAGAAAAGCTGGGTCGTGAAGCCACTTGGATGTCTAAGTCACAGGGTTCACGGCCCGGCTTTATACGAGGAGTAAGTTGTTCAAGTTTCAAGAAGCGGTGTTTTTGTTTGTTTTTGTAGTTGCTTCTGTTTACTTTGGTTTTGAGATAGGTTCTCACTGTACAGTCCAGGCTGGCTCTGAACTGTCAATCTTGCTACCTCACTCAGCCTCTGGAACGCTTGAATTATAATTTGTGACATCCTGCATGCCTCAAAATGAACGTTCTTGCGAAGGACTAAAAGAAAGATAAAACAGAAGCCTGGGACCAGAGGAGAGATTGTTGATAGACTCGAGGTGAGAGCAATGTGGAGGGAGTCAGGCAGGCTTTAAGAAAGCACTAACGACCGGACTGCTGGAGTAGACCGCCTGGGGCTGTGTGCCCCATGGTTCCTTCTAGAGGTGCTACATGCCTGCCCGGTGACTCTCTGCACAGGTGTCCCTAGAGAATGGAATGAAGCCAACTTGACACATGGAATCTCTGCACCACGAATCTAGATCCACAGGCCTGTGGCTGGTTGTTATAACCACAGCAGAGAGCAGGGCGGGCTTCTCCTAATTCACATCATGGTCCCTTTTGGGCTTTAGACTTCTGGTAGACAAGGAGGCAGTATGCCTCTAGCGCCCAAATATCTCCACATAACCACAGAACTTTCCATCTACCCACATAACTTTTTTTTCCCAACTTGCCCACTTCCTGAGGAGACACATTGAAATCACAGGAGTGTGGTCATTTTCTGTTATTGCTTCTGTTAGTTTCCTAATCTGTACTCTGTAGCCTACTGGCCCACTCAGAAGAACCCTGGATTAGAAGGATGAGCCAAGTCAGAGAGGAGAAGGCTCTCCAAAGTGGGGAGATTCATGACCCAGAGCAGAGACTTCTAACGGAGAGGCTGCACTGTTTACTGCTTCTGTCTCTTGCCTCTATGCAGTAGAAATGCTCCGATTTTCCCAGGGGCCTCTGGGAGCAGATCTGGAGCATGAACACATGACATCAAGTAGAAAACAGTGTTGAAAGGCAAAATCTTTCATCTGAGAGCCAGGGGAGCCAAAGGAGCCTGGGACTGAGAAGATACCTAAGGTAAGAGATTTATGGGTCTGGAGAGATGGCTCAACAATTAAGAGTGCTTGTTGCTCTTTCACAGGACCTGAGTTCCAATCTCAGCACCTCTGTGGGGCAGCTCGTAACTGCCTGTAACTCTAGCTGGTCTCCAAGGGCACCCAAAGAGCATATGCTTGCCCAGACATGAGCATATAAATACATATATAATTATAAGAGGAGACAGGTTTAAGAGGCACACACACACTCACGCACGCGCGCGCACACACACACACCAACTTGGTGATCCTCCTCATGTGGCCCAGCGTGCCACCCATTTCCCTGCATTCTTTCTTTTCTCCCAGAGCAAGAATAATCCTGGAACTTGAGTCGTTATGCATAGGACCCAGCCTCACCTTAAGTTGGGCTCCTGTTAGTTCTGTCTGGTGTCAGGTATGCAGGAACTTGGGCATGGGGTCAAGGCAAGAAGCAATTAGATTAGTCTCTGTTCCAAATGAAAGTCAGGTCGGGTAAACCAACCTTCCCACTCACGTGACCCTGGAAGAGTCGCATTTGCTTAGGCCTCAGTTTCTCTCTCTTTAAAGTAGAGAAAACATTGCCTGACTTGTGAACTGACTATGTGGGCTCTTAGTGAGGCTCTTATAGGCAGAGATGAGGAGGTTCTGATGGGAGAGGACTGGCTGTGGACTCTCTCCCTGGGTTATCTAACTCTGTGAGCATCGGAGGTTGGCGGTGTATGCGTGTTCATGCGTGTGTGAGTGCGTGCGTGTGAAAGTCCCCAAATAACTGAAAAAACTGGGACAATGAATCAGGGAGAGAAGAAAAAAGCAAGCTACAAGAGATTCAGAGGTACTGGGAACTGTCTTGCTCTAGAAGCAAAGATGGTTGGTAGGCACTTGGAAAAAACCTGCAAGCACAGCCATTAGACGGATGAATGCACACTCATACACACGGGGGGGGGGGGTAGGAAAGGGATGGAGAAGGAGGCAGTGACAGTCATTGCCTCAAAGGCTACGTGAATGAAGGACAGCAGGTGAGTGAGTCAATACACAATAGGACCCTGTCTAAAGCAAAAGAAGTCAGGATCCAGGGGATGTACCCAAAGGAAGGGGCACCTTTCTTGAGTTACTGGGGGTGGGTGTGGCTGAGTCACTGAAAGGGAGTGATATCGAGGGGGTGGAGCCAGGGCCATTTCCAGGGATGTTCTGGAAGAGCAGCTCTCTGCCGGAAGTGGTGGGCTCCTGAAGTATAGGGCAATGCAGCTGGAAAAAAGCAAGATGGAGGGCTGCAGCTGACTAGGTCCTGCCACTAATAAGGGCCACCAGTGAGGGCCATGTGACTGAAAGATTTCCTGATACTGGGTGATCTGGAAAAAGGCATCTATCTCATCCAGTCAGGGACCTGGGCTCTAGGCAATCAACTGAAGCATCTTTTCTGGGAGGGAGCACTAACTTTACTAGAAAGTTATGCCCCTCCCTAATAGTGATTTTGACGACTATCTTACATACCATCCCAGAACCTCCATCCAGTGACAGACAGAAACAGAGGCTGACACCCACAGCTAAACATTGAACTGAACTCCTGGAACCCAGTGTCAGAGAGGGAGGAGTGATGAGCAAAGGGGTCAAGACTGGGCTGGTGAATCCCAGAGAAACAGCTGACCTGAACAAGGGGGAGACCTTGGACCCCAGACTGATGGCTGAGAGGCCAGCATGGGACAGATCCAGACCTCCAGAATGTGGGTGTCAGTGAGGAGACCTAGGAAATCTATGGGGCTTTGGGCAGTAGATCAGTATTTATCCCTGGCATACAAATGGACTTTGGGTACCCATCCCACAATGAGGGATGCTCTCTCAATCTGGATACTTGGGGGAGGGCATGGGCCCTTCCCTGGAATGAAATGACAGACTCTAGAGATCCCCCATGGAGGACCTTACCCTCCCTGGGGAATGGAGTGGGGACTGGGTGGGGGGCTGGGGGGCAGGGGAGGGTTGGGCATGGAGGGAAGAGAGAGGGAGCTGGGACTGACATGGGAAGTAAGCTTGTTTCTAATTTAAATATATAATTAAAAAGTGTTGAGAGAGAGAGAGAGAGAGAGAGAGAGAGAGAGAGAGAGAGAGAGAGAGAGAGAGAGAGAGAGAGAGAGATCCAGGCAGTTTCCATCCTGGCGGCAGGAGCCAAGGCACCCCAGCACCCTAGTCTCCTGCGCCACCCACAGTTCTAGAACCTTCATCCAGTGACTGATGAAAGCAGAGACAGATACCCATAGCTAAACACTGAACTGAACTGGAACCCAGTGAGCAAAAGCATCAAGACTGTGCGCATGAAACCCACAGACAGCTGACCAGATAAGGGGGAGCTCTTGGACCCCAGACTGATGGCTGAGAGGCCAACAGGGGACTGATCCAGACTCCATGAATGTGGCATCAGTGAGGAGGCCTCAGAAATCTCTGGGGCCTTGGGTAGTAGATCAGTGTTTACCATGGCATACGAATGAACTTTGGGAGCCATTCCACATGGAGGGATGCTCTCTCAGCCTGAACACATGGGGAAGTGCTTGGTCCTGCCCTGGATGAAATGACAGACTCTGGAGACCCCCCCAAGGAGGGCCTCACCCTTCCTGGGGAATAATGTGGGGGTTGGGTGGGGGACTGGGGGAGGGCTGGGGGAGGGACAAGGGAGGAGGGGTGGGAGAGGGAGCTGGGATTGACATGTGAAGCATGCATGCATGTTTGTAAGATATAACTTATTTTAATAAATATTAAAAAAAGAAAGTTATCACTCGGTGATTTTTTTTAGGTGCAGCATCTTGCCTCCTTCTGTATGTGAGAGCCAAAGTTACATTTTAAGTTTTAATTATTATGCCTAAGAGATCCATGAAACAAAAATGTCTCTGATCTGCAAGCCCCTTGCCCAAGGACAGATGTTCCTGAAATGCTGGAGACCATTGCTTATGGGAAATAACAAGTCACATTATTTCAGTCCCCTAAAGAAGTTTGTTTGACCCATCTGAACCAGATGTGTTTGATTGCTAGTGGGTGGGAGGTTCACAGGCAGGAAGTACATCAGGATGTATGCTTGCCCCTGATTGGACCTGATGGGAAACACAATGACTTATAGGCTTTCCTACTTAAGCCACCAAAAACTGTGACTTGGGACCATTTTCCAGGAACCTGAGTATGGACCAGGCCAGGGTCCATCCACCTGGCTAGTATTAAATTAAAGCTAGCTTCAATTTTGGCTTTACATTGTGGTAGTGATCTTACTCTCATTCAGTGGGATTCACATGTACCAAGCCTGGGAGAGAGTTTATGAATACCCATTTGTAGATGAGATATGATAGATAGTTGGGAAAATGTACAATATTATACCACCCCTGAGTAACTTTCCTACCACCCAGCCTATGTATCCTTGTGACTGGCTCTGGCTGAGGGCTAGGGGCCAACAATCTTGACGTAGACAGAATCGTGAATACTGACTCCTGTGGAGACTGTCTGCTCTTCCACTGCCTCCATATGGAAATATGCCCCGCTGTCAGCCTGGATGATGAGTGGCATGTGGTTATGTCATTACCGATGGCCCAGGGGTTAACAATCGGGTGTACAAACCAGGTCATTTTAAACCATCCCAGCCCCCACCTAGCCATCTAGGAGAGCACAAGAATGGGTCCAGGAGAGATCAGCCACACCAGCCTAAACCAGAATACTAACTTCCACAATTTTTGAGTAACAATAAATATTATTTAAGTCACAAGCCCTTTTATTCTCTCATCTGTTTTTTTAAAAATGAAAAAGGTAATGAGGGAGGAGACCCTATTGCGTTCTTAGTAGGTGGGTGAGAGAAAAAAAATTTAATTATACATGTTTAAATTTTTTTTTTTTACTTCACAAGACTTCACTCTCTCCGGGTGGTGATGGTGCATATTTTTAATCCAGGCACACGGGAGGCAGAGTCAGGTGCATCTCTGTGAGTTCAAGGACAACCTGGTCTACAGAGTGAATTCCAGGACAGCCAGAGCTGTTAGGTAGAGAAAACCTTCCCCCTGCAAAAACACTTCCCTTTCATTCTCTCCCACGGCCATGGCTCACACCTGAAGCAGGTGCTCCGGGTCCCTAGCACGGCCTGTTTGGAGACCAGGCCTCCTACAGACCTCTCCAGAGCCATTTCAGGGACTGGTGGTGATTAACCCTTTCCAAACCAACTAACCCTTTAAACCAGGAACAGGACATGGCCTGCCTACCATCTGCCTTCTCCATCATATGCAAACAGCGCTCAGTCGCCCAGGCACCTCTTGTCCCCTGAGTCTGTACAATCTGTGGAGAGTTCTGAAAGAAAAGAAAAAGACATGGTTAGCGCTGCCAAGACTAGAACGGGTTAAAGCTGAAGACACGGCACTAAGAAAGAGACACGGTTCGTCCTTTCTCCTAGGGATGCTCACACACTAGCTTTCCAACGTGGGAAGTTAAAAGCCAGACACAGTCCTGAGCCCAGACTTTGGGTGTGTCTTCACAGAATGCTAGAGACAGCAGACACTAAAGGAGGCACTTAGCCCAACCCCTCGTTTGGAAATGAGGGAACTGAGGTGAATTGTTCCAAGGCCTCAGCAGATAGTTGATGGAGCTAGAAAAAGGTCATGGTGTCTGGCAAGGAGTATGGGACTCTTTCCAGACCTGGGAAAAGGACAGAGTCCATCTTGTGAAAACGCTGGAATGGAGTGCCTACAGGTGATTTAGGGCCTTGCAATCAAATCCAAGACAAAGGCAAGATAAGGAGACAAGGAGCTGGTACTTAGTGGTGATTTATAACTACAGGCAGAACAAGGGGAAGTTCAACCCATCGGGCCAGAAGACCTCAGGAACTTCCCAAGAAGAATGCTGTCCTTACTCTGAATTAGTCAACTTTAAGATTTGACCATAATCCTGGAAATCCATTCCTAGGACCCTCTCTAGCTCCTATTCCATTACTTCTTCCTTCACTACTCAATTCATGAAAAGGAGGAGGCTGCTTCCCTAAGGTGGGATGCCACCAGGTGTAACTGGACCTGCGGCTGTGAACTCCAGTCAGCATCTGCGGACATTAGTTACCGCCTTTGGTTAGAATTCTGAGTGCGGCCCATCAAACGTGGGCTCAGGCCGGGCGGTGGTGGCGCACGCCTTTAATCCCAGCACTCGGGAGGCAGAGGCAGGTGGATCTCTGTGAGTTCGAGGCCAGGCTGGACCAACAGCCTCCAAAACAATACAGAGAAACTCTGTCTCATAAAACCAAAACAAAAAACAAACAAACAAACAAAAAAACCGTGGGCTCAGATAACTTCAGGGGATTTTTCCACATACATTAGCCTGGTTCAGGATGGAAAACTCCATGGAGGCCACTAAGTTGTCCTCTGCTTGCATTTTACTTAGACTAATCACGTCAAGGCTACAGATATTGAGTGAAGTTGAAAGCCAGCACTCTGAGGAAGGGTCCTGCAACTTTTCACTCTAAAGGGTTCAAAGCACAGAAAGGAAATGAAGGAATTCACCCCTTCCTTCCCCACCCCTACCCCCCAAGCTGGCTCTGCTCCTTGGTTCTTACAGTACAGTACCCATGGTGGAGTTTGGCTCAGGGGGATCCCCTGGAGTCGGGCAGGGGTTTGATGGTTAGGTAAGTGGAAAGGCTAACTACCACACCTATTCGATCACAACATGAGTATGAGGATAGCTTTGCTGGATGTGTCCTCCCCCGCCTCTCCCTGTGCCTTTTAAATCCCACAACAGTCTGGAGCATTTAAACTTTGATACACAGCATTTTAAAAACCAGCCTGCTAGGCTGTATCCTGTCTGAAGATCTTTTATCATCCGCTGCTGTTGTCTGGGGTTTGTCCCAGTCTCAAGGATCCCAATTAGAGCCCAGCCTTTCTCGCTGGCTCATTATATTCTCAACCTTTGGAGAGCACACAGCTTTGTCTCTTTCTGGCTCTTCTCTCCTTATCAGAATTCTCCCAAGATAGATTCCTGTGTCACCTGGACTCCCCACCTTTACAAGGTGTTGGACATACTGTGCGAGGTTTGTAAACAAGAAGAGGGAGCAAACTTATCCATTTACAAGCAGAACCCATGGAGAGGAAAGAATAGGTACCAAGCACTACGTCACTTCACACCCTCCCCCAACACAAGCCAGCCTGGGAACTGGCTCTAAATTATAGATGAGGACACCGAGGCAGCCAGAGGCTGTGTGACCAACCTAAAGATCCCCAGTTGATTAGGGGCAGGATGGCAGGTCCTTGAGAACTTAAGGGACAGTGAGGAGAAAGGGCCAAGACAGTCAGTGTCATCGATGACCCCGGTCCCTGTGCAGCCAGGCCATGTGAGAAATGATTTCCTCAGGTCAGCTCGACTCCTGCACATCTCCCCCGCCCCCTCCCCCATCCACATTTATTCCTTTTATGATGCCGTTTTCAAACCTCATTTAACCTCAAGTCGAAATATAAAGAAAACTTCCCTTCCTTAGTCCTGAAACTGAGACCCGTGCCTGCATTTTTGTTCTCTTCAAACCCCTCTTTATTCTGCAACAATAAAAATGCCGCTCTTCATCACAGAACAGGCTGCAGGCCAAAATAAACAGCACCTTGGATTTCCTTGAAAAGAGAGCTTGGCTCAAGGCACAGCCTCGCTGCCACAGAATTCTTGGACAATTCAACCTTACACAGTCAAATATTTAGCCTGGTAACACACCAAAGAGCAGCCCCACTGGTCCCTTCATGATCACCTGGCAGAGACAAAGGCCTCTTTCCAAAAGAGTAAAGAATGCCTCCCATACCTGGGGTGACCCTGCCCTGGTCATGTGATGAGGCAAGAGCTTTCATTCCCCATCCAAGGGCCCCAATTTTCCAAGTGGTACTGGAAACATTTGAGGGCTCAACTCATCCGTGAGGGGGAGGGCTGAGGCAGGGGTACCGAAGAAGTGAGATGTACTCCTAAAAGATTCTGCCTGCTGGGTTCTTAGCCAGGCTCACTTCCCACCCACCAGGAAATGGGGTGTGGAGGACTCTGTCTTAGCAGGGCACACATTAACACAATAGCATTCATTCCATTTCCATTTTTCTTCAAGTGCTTCTCTTATTTTGCTCACACTGCAGCGACTGGATCTGGGGCTTCTTGGAGAAGAGAGGTCAGTTGGGAAGTAAGCCAGCCTCCCCAAGCACCCCTCCACTCTGCAGAGCCCCAACAGGAAGGACTGGGCTCCCAGGAGGCCGGCTTCAAGCTGCAGGAATGGAGCTGAGTTCAGCAGCACAGTCCGCTTCCCAGCTGTTTGTTAAAGGATTGGGGTCAACTGACCCATGGCCTTGTTGAAAAAGCAAACACTGACTTCCTTTTTGCTCTCTGGAGGAAGCAAGCTGGGTCAGGAACGAATTCACTGCTCAATAAGTTAATATTGGATCAGACAGGAAAAGGGAGAATGCTCAGATCCCTCAGTTGCAAACTTGGTTCTTGTGGACTGCCATTGTTTTAGAGGGACACACGTAAAGACACCCCTTCCCAAAACACACAACCTTCTTTTCCTTGATGCATCCAAATCTGAGAACCCAGGAGAAAGAGTTCGCATCTTTCCCTTACAGCTCATCAATGAAACTGCCTGTAACAGTGGTGTAGCTTCCTGAGGACCAGGAACCTACTGGGTTTCATGACTGTCACCCTGGCTTTGCTTTAGAACCCCCCCCCCTCCCCGGTGCTGGCACCAGCAAGGTTCAGGCAGGACGGCGATAGAATAATGCCCAGTGAATTCCCAGGGGCTTGGCTAGCAGCTCCCATTCCCTGCTGCCCCACCAGTCTGATGCCCGGAACCCCAAAATGCGCCCCATCTGGCAGGAAAAAAAAGCAAGTACCTACAGTGTCAAGCAAACTCCTTTTCCGTGGCCCCTGCTCCCCCCCACGCCCCCAAGCAGGATTTCTAACTGCTGGAAGGCCTAGTAATTTGGGAGGGCAGAGTGCAAGAGCCAGGAAGAGGCAGCTGCCTGAAGAGGGAAGTCACAGAACAGTCACCACAGACAAGACCTGGAGTCCAACCTGGAGCTGCTACAGCTCTCAGAACAGAGGCAGGTGTGAGGTAGGGCCCAGCTTCTCCAAACCTGACACCGCTCCTGTTCCTACTGAAGACAGACAGACAGGGGTGGCCTGGTCCAACAGAGGTTCTGAGAGCTTTATGATTCTTCTATGCAGGCTAAGCAGCGGTATTAGAGAGACACCACCCCCCTGGTACCACCAGGGCACTAAATGGCCCTGTAAGACACATCACAGGCAGCTCTCCCACACATGCTAACCATTGAGCTGCCCAGCCCAGCCCAGGCTCACATCAAACTTGTGCTGAACTTGATGCTGGCACCGAGTGTCACCTCACCCTGGACTGCCTCCTACATCTCCCTAATACACATAAAAAGCCCTTCCTTTCCATTCTTCGCCCTTTGTCCCCACACCAGTGTGAGTGAGCCCAGCCAGGCCAGGATCTAGTATTCCTGCTACACAGGCCAGGATCTAGTATTCCTGCTACACAGGCCAGGATCTAGTATTCCTGCTACACAGGCCAGGATCTAGTATTCCTGCTATACAGGCCAGGATCTAGTATTCCTGCTACACAGGCCAGGATCTAGTATTCCTGCTATACAGGTAAAGAAAAAAAGCAGATGGTCTAAGTGAATTCCCTTATGTCTCCCAGGAGTCAAATTCCTGGGGGGAATTGTGTTCTTCTCAGTCTTTCTCTTGGGAGATTCCCAAGCATCTTGCTTTATCTAGAGATGAATAGACTTTCTGAAGGGCACAGGGTGATGCGTATGGCTGTGGACAAGGCTATAGAGTAGGGGTGTATGTTTTTCAATTGTTAGAAGTGTTTGTGTCATCCAAGTACCAGACAGCTAGAAAAGGATCCGAAATGCAGCCTGAATGCTAAAGTTATATGGGAAAGACATCAAGGAGCAAATTTGCTCGGGGATACAGTTGAAAGTCCTACTGCCCTACTGCCCATCAGTAGAATATTAGTTTAAGATGTGTTACACTCGTTTGTGCTGTGGAATATTTATTTAATGATACAAAGAAGTATTGCATTCTTTTCTGTTGAATTTTTCAATTCTGTGAAGCTGTACTACTACTACTTTGCATGTCTAAAACACCTGATTGGCCTAATAGAGAGATGAATAGCCAACAAAAAACATTAGGAAGGAAGTATTGGGCCCTGGGAGTGCCACTAATCAGTTTGCCTTAGACATCAGGATAAAAGACGCATGTAACTGGGCCTGGTGTCTCATACATGCAATCTAACATTTGGGAGGAGAATTAGAGCTTGGGATCAGATG